GTAAAGCTTTTGATAGCATCAACATTGACTTAATGTCTCGAAAGCTTGGCGCTGTAGGGATCAGGAACGAAATACATGACTTCCTTATATCGTTTTTAACAAGTAGGAAATACTATGTTAAATACAATAATACAACTTCAAAGGAGTATACTTTGCAAAATGGAACTCCCCAAAGGAGCACCCTTGGTCCAGTTCTCTTTCTACTTTACATTAACGATCTACCACCAGCCATTATTAATGGGTTTACATTCATGTACGCTGACGACACAGCAGTAGTTGTAAGCGCTGAGAACCCCGACTTAGCTTTGCAAAAATTAAAAAGGGTTGTTCACGAATTTTTAACTTGGTGCAGCACTAATAAACTGAAGATAAACTCCGACAAAACAATAGTCATGAATATGACCAAATCTACACAGAATCATCCCTATGAGATTTTCATTGAGGATTCACTGATCTCTTGTAAACCACATAGCACGTATCTTGGTACTATAATTGATTCCAGTTTGTCGTGGCTTCCTCAAACTGAATACGTTATAAGTAAGCTTAACTCATCGTATTATCTGTTATCACGACTGAAACAACAATTCGATGAAAATTTGTTACTTAAAGTTTACTACGCGGTTGTGTATCCATATTTAAGCTATAACATTACATGTTGGGGAGCAAGTACACATACTCACAGAGAATTTATATTACAGAAACGTATAATACGATTGATGTACAATCTTAATTACGCTCAAACATGTCGGGACACTTTCAAAAATCATAAAATAATGCCACTGCCTTGTATATATATCTTTAAATTACTTATTTATCTTCATAAAAACCAACACAAATTTAACAAAATAAGTCAAGTTCACGATCACAACACCAGAGGTAAAAATAAAATCTTGATTCCAAAACACCAACATTCATTTTATAAAAAATCTCCGTTTTACACCGGTTCAGTATTATTTAATAATCTGCCTGAAACTCTAAAAAAAATGAACCACTCCCTTTTCAAAAATAGAACGAAACAAATATTACAAAATAATTCTTTCTATTCAATAAATGAATTTGTTGATTATATATCTCTAGGTAATAAAAACCTAATGACTGGATGCACCTGAATTGTTAGTCCTCATATTTTCTGTTGTCCATACATGTTTTGTTTGTGATTTGACGTTTCTGTAATTGTTATTTACAATTTTTAGAATTAAAGATTATTATTATTATTATTATTATTTTATCAAAAAATCGGCAATAAACCCAATCACCATGACTATAGGAAGACACAAAGCAGATTCAAACGTTATCAAGTCGAAATCAATATCAGTACAACTGCCATTAATTTATTTGTAAATTGTTATTCAATGGCTGAGGGCAAAGTGTTTATAAAGGCTCGTTTCCTAAACTTGAACTCGTGCGATAAACGCGCCACTTATGAAACTGCTATTGGAGCTGTTATTTTATGGCACCTTGATGTTTATAAATTATGCGTCGTCATTCCGTGACGCTGCATTTCTATTGGTCGTAAACTTGCATCTAAATCTACATCGAAATGACTGAAGTACAGGTAGCACATGTTTACCTAATATACCTATCAATTGAAGTATATACCTATAAGAGTAAAAAATAGTACCTACCTACCTATATTATGTATCAAGTTTTATAAACGACACTTTAGACACGAGAAAAGTTTATAAAACGCGTTACATACTATAGACTTTCTCTACGAAAATTGTGAGCAGTACACAAGATCTCCGTTTTCTCACATATTCAGATCAGCTCTGAATTTTCAAGCGTGGCAGACGTCGCTCGACAGTACTATCAGACAGCAACTTGCGTGAGAGAACTTGCCGAAAACTTCCTGCCTTTGTACCTGAACAGTGCTATCAGACAACAACTTGCGTGAGAAAACTTGCCAGTCTATTCCCGCCTTTATAGGCTGCATGTTGTCTAAACAGAAAACTTCCTAGTGTTAGGTGATTTCAACATTGATTACAGTGATGTCCTTCAGAAACCTAGCTCTGAACTGATGTCTTTATGTGAGAGCTTCAATTTGAAGCAGTTAATTGAAATTCCAACTCACATTGTCATCTACAATTGATCTCATTCTGTGCAGCAAAATAATCACCGGGGTAGGTTCTGGAATTATGGGGGTTAGTCGCATAGTTGATCACGAAAGTATTTTTTGCACCATTAATTATAGTCATTCAAAGCCTCAACAAGTATTTAAAAGGTATCGTAACGTAAAAAGTAAAATATTAATCAATTTAAAGACTTAAGATCAATTCCATGGAATAACATTTACCTACTACCTATACTATGCTGATATCAATGCCAAAGTAAACTTTTTAAATACCTCTCTCAATGACTTATTTAATAAGCACGCACCCTTGAAAAAGAGCCTTATAACGAAATTACCGGCTCCTTGGCTAAACGATAACGTCAAATTCCTCATGCAGCAGCGAGACTGCCTTTAAACTTTATAAACAAATTAAAACTCTTGATAACAAAATTCAGTATAACCAATTACGGAATGAAGTTACCACATTGTGTAGACGTGTAAAAAAAATCACTACGATGAGCTGTCTCGTAAGAAACTTACAAAACAAATTTGGAAAGATCTGAAAAATTGTGTTAGGTACTACAATTTATATCCAAGAGGTTGATGCAATAAATGATTACTTTTCACGGTCAGTTCCTAAGTTTCAAGTAAGTCAATGATATCGCCCATTATTATAGGCAACGTTCCAATATCGATGGTGCCGATACACAGTTTAACTTTCATTCAATCACAACTCACAGAGTCTGATGTCCTTAAGGCGATAATGTTAATTAAATCCAACTGTGTGGGTCATGATGGACTTAATGTCACCATGGTAACACTTTATTTACCGCACTTATTACCTATACTTACGCACGTAATTAACTTCGGCTTTAGGAGTTCTCAGTTTCATCTTGATTGGAAAATTTCACATGTCTTTACCTCTAAAAAAGATTCATAACGCTTCAAAAGTTTACACTGCGCATGCGCAAAACCAAATTTTGAAACTGGCGTTTAATTTTCCTTTATTCCAAGTGCCTATGTATCAAATTTCGCTTAAAATCTTCCATAAATAAAAAAGTTTGAAAAATTATGGAACATATAAAAAACGGTTTTTTGGTTTTTTTACAATAACTTTTTTAGCAATAAACGCAGAAAAAATTCTTTCCTTGGTGCAAGCCTCGACACCATAACGAAACCATATAGCGAAAAAAGTAGAACAATCTAGCTCTTAAGATAAAGAACTATAGCGCGTTCGCACCTCCAAATTCAGTATCGTGCTTATGGACATACAGTACATGCTTGCCAAACGTGACAATGACCGCACAAGGAGATTATGTTTTGTTTTAATACTTCAATTTAATCATATGTCAATTTGACATCAATGCGGTTAGAAAAAAGGATAGTATTATCGAAGAATGACGCAAACTAGTAAGAGAGGCAATTAGTCCATAAGAACCCATACTGAATCTGGAGGTGCGAACGCGCTATAGTATCGTCTCAACGAACGAGCGGACGGACGGACGGACAAACTGGCCACAATAACGCATTTTTTTATTTTTGTGGAAATGCGCTAAAAAACAACTTAAGTCATACCTTGTGGATAACCAAATGCGTTTTACCGGGATCCAATTTTATTTTTTTAATTTTTTTTTTAATTTTATCTGTGTGTACTTTTTGAAATGTTACCAATCTACATTATGGTTCTATATTGTTTACTACCCCATTAAAGATTCGCACACATGTACAGCATATTTAATCTATGTTTGACGTTGCAAAGTTTACTTATTGTAATTAAACCTAGAGGTTAAGTGGAAGAGCAGCATTCGCTGAACTTCACCTCTACATATTTTTGTATTACAAAGAACTCTTTTCACTGCAATAAAGGCACTATTATTATTATTATTATTATGGTCGGTGTTGTCTTGTGAGAACTCAGGTCTAGCCTGGTTAACTAATCGCACGGATTAAAATCAAGTAACGATTAGTGTCTGTGTCTGTGTCTGGTGAAGTTATGTAGGGTCCTAAAAAAAAAATAAAAGAAATAAATAAATAAAATAACAAATAACAATTCTATTATTATTATTATTATTATATTATTATTATAAACACTCTAAAATAGTACAGTCAAAACTCAAATTGTAACCAAATATCCAAGAAAAAGTTTTTGTAACTTTGTATACTTATACATAAATATATTCTGTTTCTAGCTCATCGAAAAATTGAGGTCTAAAAACCCCCGAGCTGCCCGCCCACCTGCGTGACTCATTTCGTGCAAAAGTTCATCCCCTTTTTCCACACTTAACAGTTAACTTAAAACGCTTATATCATAATGGACAGTAACGGCGAAGGTGTTCAGTTAATTCCCATTGGTTCACTAACGTTAGGGCTGCTTTTCAAAAAAGCTGATGAAGCCGAATTTTTGTTTACTTCTTCTCAAGGAAGCTTTGACATGTCACGTAAGATATGAAACAGTATACTACCTTTTTTTATTACGGAACTCGACATCGTTTGTCGTCAATGAGCACTTTCAGTGCAAATTTCTGCAGAACGGAGTGTTGGAGGAGGGTATACTCACTAACATCGGAAAGATCGTCTGAGCGAGACACATCTACTGGCGGTGTAAGAATTTAACTATGATTGTTCAGAAAATGTTGGAAACCTACAAACGGAAAAATAAGATCCCCTCTCCGCCCAATTAAGTAATCATCTAGTAAGGAGCATGGTATAGCAAGGAGATAAACATCGAAATTCGAAGCGCGTATTTGTTGAATGTAGCCATAGAGTAGGTATATAGTTTAGGTATCACATTGTATGTTATTGATATAGTCTGTGGTTATGAATATGAAGTACAACTGCGTTACCGTTTTTATTATTATTGTATTCATGTTTTTGTTCAAGTATATTCGCTAACTAAATAAATATAAGGAAAGTACACTGTGTAATTCATTTATTACAATTACAACAATAGTATTTAGCATGCTGTTATACCTTAACCCAACTACTTAGCTTGTAACTATTTCGGTTTAAAAAAATGCGCTTTATCTGCACAATGGTTTGTGCACAATTTATGCTTGTTTTCTTATTGTGGAGACATAATCGCTAATATGCAGATCTTTAAACTTGTACACAAAGTTTACTGTCTATTTTTATACTTCACATGTTTTGTTATTGTACTAATATAGCACAGATTAACTGCTATGGGTTGCGATAATTCCGTACACGCAATATGCCGATATGCGTAAGAATATCATTTTGGTTCATAGTCTAAAAAGTGAACTTTCTCACCATCTTGGAATTATGATGCGCTGGTAACCTCGAATTCGTTACAAGCCATAAATTTTTCACAAGGATTGCATTTATTCATGATTAGGTATTTAAATATACTTCGTGTCATATCTAGATCGTCTGTGATATAAATTCGTCATGAACATAAATTCACTTCAATGGTAAAGCAGAATTTAGGCGCGCAATGGTTTACCGAACCCTTTCTGTGCCTTTGCAACGAAAGGCGATCGAAGAACTGAACGAAGATCCACCTATGATTGACGAATGTTTGTTGGGTATTCGAGAATGGATCGAAAAGCAACCACATTTAAAGGTCAAATCAGGTTAGCTCAAACTTTTCTCTTTTCTTTGTCCTTTTTTAAATGTGTCATTTAGATGATGACTCGTTACTGGTTTTTCTTCGAGGATGCAAGTGGAGCCTGGAACGTGTAAAAGAAAAACTCGATCACTTTTACACGGTACGCACTTTAATTCCTGAGTTTTTCTCAGACAGAGACCCATTAACTGAAGATATACAAACGCTTCTTAACAGGGGGTAAGTAGGTTCTTAAAAGAAGTGTTAAACTATTTTTGTTTAGAGTTATGTTGCCGTTACCAAATACAAACGGTTCCGATGGGCCAAGAATTTGTTATTTTAATTTCGAATGCGTTGATTTAGATTTACCTAAAATAGTTCCATCAAAATACTTTTTTATGATACTTGACGCACTGCTGGAAGAAGATGATCATCTAATAGTTTCTGGAATAGAAATTATAATAAATATGAAAGGATTGCCTGCTAGCTATTTAATGCAGTTCACCCCAACACTGGCTATGCAGTCTATCCATTGCCTTCAGAGTGCATATCCACTCCGAGTTAGAAGAATACTCTTGATAAATGCAATGCCGGCTATTGAGAAAGTTTTCTCCGCCATCTTTATGCCATTCTTCGGAAAGAAAATTAAAGACAGGGTGAGTGACGATTGCCCTAAAAGGCTACTTTTTAATAGTGCTTGTGAATACCATGCGATCAAAAATGAGTTGCTGTCGAGTCACCTTTGGAATTTTTGTTTACATGGGAAATCGTACTTAACTTAAACTTCCAAAGGCGACTCGACAGCAACTCATTTTTGATCGCCCGTTATTTAGTATAGGTACATAATTCACCTTTATTGCTCACTTTGTTTTAAGATACAAGTGTTCTCTGCGAAAAATATCGAAGAAGCCTATGAGTATATACCCAAGTCTTTTTTTCCCATAGAATTGGACGGGGCAAACGGATCTTGTGTCAAATTGACAGGTATAAATATATCACGACCGTTTCGATGTAATTGCCAAACAAAATCATAGAAAAATGGAAAAACAAGATTGAAAACAAAAGACAATATTTTTTAGAAGAAGAAATGTACAGGAACAACGAACTGATCAGGCAAGGCGAACCGAAGACAACCAGTGACGTGTTCGGTGTAGTAGGATCGTTTAGAAAACTTAGTGTAGACTAATGAGCAAATCTCACAACATCCACAATGTTTTTGCAAGCTAGCAGTCCACGCATCGCTGACAGTGTTTGTTTTTATTACCTTATTTGTTGTAAATAAAACTATAAAACAAAATTAGTTGTCTTTAATGACATGAATGCATATTATGATGGGTGTCAAGTAAATTGGTATAATGTCGAATCCTAGACTCCACTGGAATTCCTAAAGAATTAATATTTGACACACATAACAATCACGCCACTCGCCCCCACATGAAGAACCCTGTAAACAAAGAGTAACATATTCATGCAAAAGAAAGAAAACGCGCCGCAAGAAATTCAAATATAAATTAAATGTATGTAGTATCGATGTTTCCAAATAGAGCACCATTCACGAATCGCTATAATATTTATTACATCGTGTAATTCTGCATATAAAAAAATACTCGTATTATATCATCCCTAAGAGACCATACTGTATCTATTTTATATAAATAAAATCCCGTCAATCGGTCAGAAATTCATATTGTGCGCTGGCAGGTAAAACCATCACTAGGAACAAAGGGATACCTTAAATTGAAAAACAACTTATTTACGTAGAAAACATAATGGAATCTTGCATTTAATTCACAGTATGCTCAGCATAATTATAAAAGAGCAATTTGTGTTTGGAATGCGCTATAAATGATAATGCCCATGCTGTACTGAAATGTCGTTAATTTGGCAAATAATCTAACACGATCATATAATTATTAGATGAATGCAATAAACGTAAAGATAAAAGAAGAAAAATACAGCACCAACTCGGTATTCGAAACGTAAAAATTACCACTGACTTTGACCAAAGCCCACACACGTCTCCCCAAACTTCCCCTTTGAGCAAATCCTAGACAAAAATTGTTAATATTGACGCGCCCAGTGTTTGACACTTTTATTGTAAATTATGGCCCATTTGAATGCAGGACAGAGAAGAAAAAAACACGTGTTCCACGTTCGGAAACGAAACAAAGCGCAATCTTGAATTCTTTCGTAGTGGCCAGGGCCGGTTTTGGGAATATTTAAATCGAATTTTAGCGTGCAAATTCGGTTCTATTACAAGCTCTATATTAATCGCTAGTGCATTGCTTTTGGAGAATGGTTGTGCTAAAGCTTTCGGTTTGTATGGTATTCTGTAGTAACTGAGTTTTTAAAATTTCTTCAGTTTCATCAATTACATCTCCAATAAACCCATAAAGAGCGTTTAAAAAAGCGGCAGAGCACCTCGGTGTGACCCCACGGAGTCATTGGATTTGACCCATTTTCAATAGACTTTTTACTTGTGGCATATAGGTCAACTGTGCAAAGTTTGAACCAAATCGGTCCAAGCGTTTGGAAGTTATCGTGTTCACAGCGTGTTTTTTATGAATTAAAAAAAATGTGCTATTGTTTGCGTTTTGTTTGTAAATTGGTTTGTATAAACTATAACTTTCCCGTGCAACTCGTTTTCAAGATCAGTGAGCGAAGGGGCCTGAGGGGGGGGGGGGGGTTAAAAATTAATGTTATCTCTCATTGTATTCTAATGAAAGGTCTCAACGAAAGGAATTAATTTCTACCAACCATAGCCCTCCTCCTCGACCTATTATCGTGATCGGGTATATTCCCTTATACCTCAAGGACGGATTGTCGGAAGAGGGTACCTACTCACAAAGGGCGATTGAGACTAGGATTGAGACGTCTGCAAGAATTATATCCATTGGTGATATACAGATAAAAAACGTGAACAAGATCCGTTGAGCCGTTCCCTCGAAGAATTTATACATACACACAGATGGAAAACAATTCTTTACAAGTTGCTTAAAACGATCTAAGTTTTGACAGGTTCAAAAAACGGTAATCGCAGTAGCCACCTACCTCGAGCTAGGAAGCTAGAAGCTGATTTTAGCAGCTATCAGTTCAGGTCAGAATTCGGCGTAAATGTTCGTTCTGCAAATAGCAGATAATTTCGTCCCTTAAATCAGGGCCTTCGCGGGGTATGTAGGCACCCAAAACAAAGCTTAAATCACTCCCCCCCCTGTAAAATTCGAAATCGTAATATTGTCCGCTTAAATTTGTCGGTGCAAACGGCCATAAGTGCTTATAAATATATTTATTTGTTACTCAGTTGTAAACGTTGATTAACAAGACAAAACGCAAACGGGTAAACGTCATGTTTAAACGCTACTGACTTGTAAAACTGACAGCTGACCTGTAAAACTGACAGCTGACCTGTAAAAATTTTACAAGTTAGTAATCTAGTAATTTCATTGGCCAGAATTAATGCGAAGTCTCTGTTACATGGAAACATGATATTTTAGACATTTCTTCAAGATCAATTTAAGAACTAATTATTTACGTTTACTATTGTTTACAAATGAGTAACAAATAAAATATTGTACATTATACCTACGCCAGGTGTGGTGTATGCAACTAATCATACACTAAAGTATTGTAATGTCTATGTACATATTGTATCAATGTTCAATGTGAATAAACCAGTTCGTATTTGACTAACAAAGAGACATGACATGGCGCAGTCACGAACCTAAATTTAATTGATAAATCAAGTTATATGAATGAAAATTGAAGCAGAGAAATTAAAAATGGACTCAAATGAAAAACTACGACCTATGAAATTAAGTGGAAACCTAGCCGAAAATTGGAAAAGTTGGATACAGCGATTCGAAATATATTCAACAGCAACAGAGTTAGATGGCAAGGACCAGAAGATCCAATGCGCACAAATGCTTCATCACATGGGTGAGGACGCCATTAACATTTTCAACAGTTTCACGTTTGCAGATAACGAGAAAAATAAAATTGCCTCCCTCAAGGAAAAGTTCGCAAATTACTTTGTTCCAAAAACAAATGTCACGTATGAACGCTACAAATTTTTTACTTCGAGACAAAATGAGGAACCGCTGGAACAATTCATCACAAATCTGAAAAACCAAGCTCAACTATGCAATTTGGGTGAAGAGGCATTAAGGAACGAATTAATAAAAACTATGTTAATAATTGGAATCAAGGACGAAGCTGTCAGGGAAAAACTACTACAAAAGGAAGACTTGACATTAGACAAGGCCATTGAATGTTGTATCGTAACGGAGAGTTCCCGCCAACAACTTCGAGACATGAAACAAAATACATCGTCACAGTCCCAAGGAGTGAACGAGATCGACAGCATTAGAAGGACCACAAGAACAATGGAATCAAACTCACGTGCCAATAAGGAGACGAAGTCACGGTTTGATAACAAAGACCAATTTAAAAAAGTAAGTAATTGTACAAGATGTGGTAAAAATCACTCAATTAATAACTGTTCTGCTTATGGTGCCTTATGCAATAATTGCAAAAAACCAAATCATTTTGCAAATGTCTGTAAATATAAATCACATAGAAATAGGAAAATAAATGAAATTGTTGATCATGATAATTACGAACAAAGTCTGTTGATAAATGAAATTAGTAACAATTCAAAAATTAATAATTGTACTATAGAACTGATTGTAAATAACAAAGTCAATGTGTTTGTCAATTTTAAAGTGGACACTGGTGCTAATGCAAACATAATTTCACTAGACCAATTGAAAAGTATTGAATTTAATGAAAAAAGCATTCAAAGATCGCATGAAATTTTATTAACTTTTACAGGTCAGAAAATTCCGATTGTAGGTAAATGCTATTTACATCTTAGACTAAAAGACAAATTAATTAAAAATGTTGAATTCCATATTCACAAAGGCAATGGGTCGATTATTGGTATAAACGCTTGTGTTGAGTTAGACATAATCAAATTTCACGAGGAGGTTAAATTAAAAGAAATTTATGCCATAAATAAAAATTGTAATTCAGGATACGAAAAGCTAATTAACGATAATTCAAATTTATTTAAAGGAATAGGGAAAGTAGGGAGACCCTACCACATTGAACTAAATGAAAATGCAATGCCAGTTGTTAAGCCTATCAGAAATGTACCTTTTGCGATTCAAGAACAATTTAAAAAACACTTGAACGAATTGGTAAATTTAAAAATAATCGAACGAGTTGAAGGAAGTTCTGAGTGGGTAAATTCCTACGTCATTGTAAGGAAAAATAACGGTTCTCTACGAATTTGCCTTGATCCAAAAAACTTAAATGAGTCCATCAAAGATTCAAAATATAAATTAACAAGTTTAGACGACATAATTTCAAACATTAATGGTTCCACAGTTTTTACACTATTAGATGCTACAAGTGGTTTTTGGAATATACCTCTTGATAAGGAGTCAAGTAAACTATGCACATTTGCAACGCCTTTTGGCAGGTACAAGTTTTTAAGAATGCCTTTCGGTATAAAAACCGCTAGTGAAGTATTTCAGGAACGATTCCAAGAAATATTCGCGGATAACGGAGTGCAGGTATACATTGATGATATTTTAGTGCACGGTAAAGACAAACAGGAACATGACGAGCGTCTAAAAAACGTGTTCAGAAAAGCACATGAGCAAAATGTAAAATTTAACTTAAGTAAGTGTAGATTTGGAGTAGGGGAAATTAAATACTTAGGGTATAAATTCTCGAGTGAAGGGATAATGATAGATGAAGAAAAAATTGATGCTATAAAAAATATGCCTCAACCTAAAAATAAAAAAGACATACAAAGATTCCTAGGTTTTATCACGTATGTTGGTAGATTCATAGAAAATTTGTCAGAAAAAACTCAACCACTTAGGGAAATTATCAAACAAGAAAATTTATTTGAATGGGGCGAACCACAAAATAAAGCATTTGTAGAATTAAAAAATTTAGTAATCAAAGAACCTATACTGAGATATTATAATCCTAAAAAACCAATTACATGATCGGTAGATGCATCAAAATCCGGTTTAGGTGCAGTACTATTACAAGATAACCAACCTTGTGCATATGCATCACGTACTATGACAACAACACAACAGAACTATGCTCAGATCGAAAAAGAATTATTAGCTATTGTATTTGGTGTAAACAAATTCCATCAGTACGTTTACGGAACTAAATTCATAGTAGAAACGGATCACAAACCGTTAATAGCAATTTTCAAAAAACCATTAAATGCGTGCCCTGCAAGACTTCAACGTATGTTATTATCCTTACAAAAATATCAGATTCACCTAATCTACAAACCAGGAAAAGATCTGATAATTGCAGACACTTTGTCACGTGCTAATTCAAGTAAGACATTTGATGATAATTTAGATCTTGAAGCTCAGGTATGCTTAATTCAAAAGAAATTAATAATAACTGATAATCGGGTAGCACAGTTAGTAAAAGAAGTCAGTAAAGATGAAGAACTTCAATCAATTAAAAAATATGTAGTAAACGGTTGGCCAAGTATTAGTAAAATTCCAAGTAATATAAATCCGTATCATAAATTAAAAGCCGAAATAACGCTAGGTACCAACGGTTTAATTTATATGTCACAGAGAGTCATTATTCCGCAATCGTGGAGAAGCAAAATCCTAGACGACATACACACAGGTCACTTAGGTATAAACAAATGCATTTCTCGTGCAAAATCATCTGTTTATTGGCCTAACATGAACTCGCACATTGAAACTCTTGTAAATAAATGCGAGATGTGTAATAGACATGCGAACTCAAATAAACGAGAACCGATGATTTCACACGAAATAATTAAAAAACCATGGCAAAAAGTGGGCATTGACTTATATGAAGTATCTGGAAAAATTTATCTAATTGTAGTAGACTACTACTCAAAATTTCCAGAAATCTCGAATCTTCATAAAAACTTAACATCTAGTAACATAATTAACAAATTAAAAGCAATTTTTGCAAGACATGGAATCCCAAAAATAGTCGTTTCCGACAGTGCAAAACAATTCACAGGCATTGAATTTCAAAATTTTAGTAAACAGTGGAATTTTTTATCAATAACATCCTCTCCGCATCACCAACAGTCAAATGTACAAACGGAGAGAACCATTCAAACAATAAAAAAATTAATTAAGAAATCAACTGAAAATAATGAAGATATTTATCTAGCATTATTATAGCTTTCCGTAACACTCCTGTTTACAATTGTTATACACCATCTCAAATTTTAATGTCCCGATACCTCAGAGACAACTTGTTAATAATTGATTCAAAGTTAAATCCAAAATTAATTAACAACACAAAACTTAATCAGAAAATTAGTAATTCTCAATCGTACAACAAAAAGCAATATGATAGTAAAGGTGTAAGACCGAGACAAGATTTTAAAATCGGCACAGCCGTTTGGTATCAATTAAAACCCAAAAGCCTATGGAAAAGGGTAAAATAGTAGACAAACCTAGTAATACAACTTACAAAGTGCAGACATTAGATGGTAAGGTGTTAATTAGAAATAGATTTTATATTAGACAATGTCACACAAATAATGTAGAAAATAAGGATAAGTATTATTCAAATTTTGTATATGAATTTGATGATGACAATTTAGATTCACATCAAAATGTAATTAGTAATAAGGATAGCGATCATTCTAAACCAAGTGTAAGTGCAAGTGCGAGAGAAGCAAAAGACAAATTAGACTACCACCCGCTCTAAATGATTATGTTCTTTATAAATAAGGGAGATGTGGTGTATGCAACTAATCATACACTAAAGTATTGTAATGTCTATGTACATATTGTATCAATGTTCAATGTGAATAAACCAGTTCGTATTTGACTAACAAAGAGACATGACACCAGGTAATAGTTTTTACTGGCTCTAGGAGATGACAGGCTCGCCTGACGGCTCGCCAGTCAACTTCTCCTATCGCCAGTAAAAACTCACTTACCTGGCTATTAATGTAAAATACTATTACATTACAAATGCATAAAATATATTCTTTACCACGGCAGCGCCCCCACATGACGGCCCTGCCTCAAATACCAGTTCGCGTTTCCGTAGCCAATAGGTCCTGAGTCCTGCCACTTATCCTTGGTTCGTAGTAGATCGAAATATACAGAGTCAGTCGACGAAAAAGAAGTGAGTTGAAATTTCCTCACGAGACATCCGGAATCAAACTTATCGGGATATATAAAATGGTCTATAAAGCCAATAAAGCTGGCCCAAAGTGTTCGGGCCGTTGGTTTTAATTGTTGAGGCGATGCGAAGGTAGTGTAGAGCTTTGATTATAAAATACATACGTATAGTCTATATTCAAAGACGCAGAGCATGTTTAGTAGATATTCACCTAAGCACGTAAGTTTCAAAAAACCCAGAACCATTGCTTACGTTTGTGTAGCCGAACAAAAGTAAATATTTGGTTCAAAGTAGCCTAACACGATTTTAGGCAACTGGTAACGATATAAACGGCTCGGTGAGTCATTAACCAAGGAGACCCGAGCGCCAATTCTGTGGTAGAAACTAATCATTTTCAAAAACCCACGAGTCTATCATTCGGCGCGACCCCTTTTAATTTTAGTAGCAAACTTGGCCACAGTTTGTTCAGATTATTTTTTTCAGATGATAAAGCTACGAAAAATTGGTTCTTGCCATTCCTTGAATCACGATCTTGAAACTTGAAAGTTATATCTTCGAGAATAATGTTTTCCAAATGATAAAAGCTTTTAATTCTTTAATTTCTGGCAACCTATTCCTTGGTTGGTTTTGATTATTCGCCTATTTAATGCAGTTTGTAATTATCTTCCATGACGCATTTGTTATGAAATGAATATATGAATTGTAATTGTAAAGGAGTTCATTCCCAGAATGTTAATTAGGGAATAAACCTAATTATCTCCTACCGTGCCTTGTCTCGTGATTCTTGTGCTACTTGAAATATAAGACCTCATAAACGACGATCACTAAAATTTTAGTTTAAAATCTTACAGGACAAAGCGTAAAAACCATCATTATGGTACTAGGGTACTATCATCTAGGAAGTGAGAATCTAGAAGGTGCGTGGTAGTGTATTATTATCATGGCACTCGCCACGATACTAGAAAAATGTTCGACAGAAATGGTAGGAGAAATGTTCCCTCCCTTTTTTATTTATACTTCATATAGGTATAAATTTTTAGCGTGTTTTTTATGAATTAAAAAAGATGTGCTATTGTTTGCGTTTTGTTTGTAAATTGGTTTGTATAAACTATAACTTTCCCGTGCAACTCGTTTTCAAGATCAGTGAGCGAAGGGGCCTGAGGGGGGGGGGGGGGTTAAAAATTAATGTTATCTCTCATTGTATTCTAATGAAAGGTCTCAACGAAAGGAATTAATTTCTACCAACCATAGCCCTCCTCCTCGACCTCTTATCGTGATCGGGTATATTCCCTTATACCTCAAGAACGGATTGTCGGAAGAGGGTACCTACTCACAAAGGGCGATTGAGACTAGGATTGAGACGCCTGCAAGAAATATATCCATTGGTGATGTCAAAACAAAAGCTCTGTCGGTTAAAAAATGCGCTTTATCTGCACAAGAGTTGTGCACAGTTTATACTTGTTTTATTGTGGAGATGTATAATCGCTAATATGCAGGTACTATGCGATCAAAAATGAGTTGCTGTCAAGTCACCTTTGGAATTTTTGTTTTCATGGTAAATAGTACTTAACTTGAATTTCCAAAGGCGACTCGACAGCAACTCATTTTTGATCGCCCGTTGTTTAAATCTCTACACAAAGTTCACTGTCAATTTTTATATTTCACATGTTTTGTAATACCATACGTCGACATAATTCCCACACGCAATATGCGTAAGAATTTAATTTTGGTTCATAGTCTAAAAACTGAATCTTCTCAGCTTTTTGGAATTGTGATGCGTTGCATGGTAACCTCGAATTCGTTACAAACCATAAATTTTTCACATCATCATTTATTCATTATTATTTACATACTTGGTGGTATATCTAGATCGACTTTTCATATAAATTCGTTATATTCACTTTAACTTTGAAGCAGAATTTAGCCGCGCAATGGTGTTCCGCACCCTTCCTGTGTCTTTGCAACGAAAGGCGATCGAAGAACTGAACGAAGATCCACCTATGATTGACGAATGTTTGTTGTGTATTCGGGAATGGATCGAAAAGCAACCACATTTAAAGGTCAAATCAGGTTAGCTAAACCTTATTCATAGACTAAACTAAGGTAATAATTTTCTTTCTCTTTTTTTTAAATGTGCCATATAGATGATGAGTTATTACTAGTTTTTCTTCGAGGATGCAAATGGAGCCTGGAACGTGTAAAAGAAAAACTTGATCACTTCTATACGGTACGCACTTTAATTCCTGAGTTTTTCTCAGACAGAGACCCCTTAAGTGAAGATATACAAACGTTTCTTAATAGAGGGTAGGTATCACAGATCACTTCAAAAAGAAATGTTCAACCATTTTTGTTTAGAGTTATGTTGCCGTTACTAAATACAAACGGTTCTGATGGACCAAGAATTTGTTATTTTAATTACGAATGCGTTGATTTGAATTTGCCAACAATCATTATACCAAAATACTTTTTTATGGTACTTGACGCGCTGCTGGAAGAAGATGATCATCTAATAGTTTCTGGAATAGAAATTATAATAAATATGAAAGGATTGCCTGCTAGCTATTTAATGCGGTTCACCCCAACAGTGATTATGCAGTCTATCCATTGCCTTCAGAGTGCATATCCACTCCGAGTTAAAAGAATAGTGTTGATAAATGCAATGCCGGCTATTGAGAAAGTTTTCTCCGCCATCTTTATGCCATTCTTCGGGAAGAAAATTAGAGACAGGGTGAGTGACGATCGCACTACGAGGCTATATACAGTAGATACTTTTTAATCATTTATTGTTTGTGTTTCCGATTACATAATTCATCTTTATTGGGCACTTTGTTTTAAGATACACGTGCTGTCCACAAAAAATATCGAAGAGGCCTATAAGTATATACCCAAGTCTTCCTTTCCCGAAGAATTGGGCGGGGCAAACGGATCTTGTGTCAAATTGACAGGTATAAATATATCACGACCGTTTCGATGTAATTACCAAACAAAATCATAGAAAAATGGAAAAACAAGATTGAAAACAAAAGACAATATTTTTTAGAAGAAGAAATGTACAGGAACAACGAACTGATCAGGCAAGGCGAACCGAAGACAACCAGTGAGGTGTTCGGTGTAGTAGGATCGTTTAGAAAGCTTAGTGTAGACTAATGAGCAAATATTTTGCTCACAAAATCCACAATGTTTTTGCAAGCTAGCAGTCCACGAATCGCTGACAATGTTGCTATTGATTTTATTACCTTATTTGTTGTAAATAAAACATTGTGGCCAATATGAGTTGTATCTACATTATTATACCTATCTCGTTTCTTTTGGGCACGTTCCCGTTCCATTCCTCCTTGACTTCTCAGACCATACGTTGCAGCAGCCTTTCCATATCTGATCATGTACCTAGTCTTCCACCGCCGTTACAACAATTTAGGATACGATTCACTCCATTGCAACTGACCGCCATGTAACCGATTTCCCAGCACTTTAAACACCTTCGTTTGATCGGTCTTCAGGCGGAACCTACAAAGCATAAAGCCCAGCCTCAATAAGTCCTCGATCGACTTTTCTCATGTTTTAGACCGAAACTCCGCGCTTTCGATGCAGATTTGAGGATTGCTTCAACGTACTGCTCTCTCCTTCGTGGCGTAATCCAAACTTTCACCTCTAGCGTTCGGTTATTTTCTTGCAGGACCATCTCTTTCCCCTCTACCGCGTATCTAGTTTTGTGCATCATACCCTGATTCTGCTGCTGCGAGTCCACTCCTGGCATGCCCGCTTATCGTATCACCTTAAGGACATCACTCACGTGATTCTCCCTTCGCAACTTAACTAGGACCGGCTCCGACCTCGACGCACGTCTCGTAATAATTGGCTGGGGTGTGCCCTCACTTTAACTACTAGTTTACCCATTTGTTCCCGCTTGCCCGGCCTTTCTTTTTACGATTTACGGTCTTTTGTTTCAGTGTTTCACCAATGCCCGCTTTCTGAGTTCTCTTCATCCCGGCGTATGTTAAATCAGGGACCCGCTTATAATTAAGCCCCTTAACCGAGTCTCATTTCTGGGTTTATGTAATAGCGAGTAGGGACGAGGACGGGGTAGGGAGGGGGGAGGAGTACCGGCAAAATTTCATAGAATTTTTTTATTAATTAATACATACCAAGAAATTGCTTTAGAATAACGTATGAATGAATTACACCATTAAAATTACGTGTTTCAGTTCGTAACATATTTATTATAGTTATAGGGTGCGATATTAGGAGATACCTACCTCTTGACAGGCTGATGCTACAAAAAAAGTTAAAATACAAAATTGTCTGTTGGTTTAATGTGTAGGTATACCTCAAAAACGTTTTTGTTGTACAAAGTGTTCCATAAATGTGGTATGAGACATCGTTGTTGTAAATAGAACATTATTCTATTCCAATAATAGATAGTTCTAAAAATGTCGCATACTCTTTGTTCAGAATCGTTAAACAAAACTCGTTTTTAAAAAAATTAATATTTTCTCAAAAAATCACTGTAGTTTCCAACAAAAATAAACATATTTCATTATTTTAAAATGCTATAAGATAAAACTATTGTGTTTAGTGCAAATTAACACTTTATATGGTTGTTTTTCGTTTTCCATACAATTGAATACGTGTAAAAACTTTTATTAAATGTAACGTACAAATGTTCTAAATTTAGTTATGGGGGCTTCCTACGCCGTTGTCTATTTTTTCTGCTTCTGCGCACAACAAAGCCTTGAAAATGCACTGATAATTTGAGCGGCAAATTTAAACACAAATTGTCCGTTATATACCTACTTTATATCTCATTTTTAATAAATGGGAAACCCTTTCTTATCGTAAACTGTTCACTAAGCAATGCTTTGCTTTTTATAACACATGTTCAATACCTCAATGTAATATTAATCGAGTTTCATACACTTTTCCCTAATTCCTCCCTTAAAATGAACTAACATATTTACAATTAAATTACAAAAAAATTGTATTATGTGATGTTTCACAATGTATAGGTTTGATTACCTCCACGTTGATTACGCTAATGATCTTGATTTTTCTTACTCGGTTGACTTTGATATATCCAAAACTTAATTTGGGTAAATTTATGATAAGAAAATTTGGGAACTTTGTGCTCCGATAAAGCGTCAATTTTAAATAAATCATCAAAGTCAAAATCGATACGTTACCTGAATTATATCTTCAAACGAGAAAAGTTGCGCAATTAAAGAGTAATTGTGATACTGTAAAGAAAACCAAAATATTCAGATTACTTCCGAAGATATGCCAGAAAAACCGAAATTTACCGATTTTGTTTTTGTCTTATCTTCGGAAGTAAACGGAATTTTCTGGTTTTCTTCTAAAGCATGATAATACCTTTTTAATTGCGCATCTCTAATTTGACCTTAGTCGTATCTTCTATGGTTTCGGAGATCCCCATGATACCAGTGTATAATAAATAATAAATTAGTTTGTTTTCAATATATATTTTTTATTATAAAATTAAGAAGTACAATTACGCGATACAGATCTTCACCAATAAGAACTTGACACCATTTTACGAGTTCGTGATTTTCTCGTACGTTTGACAGGCACGGTTCAGTCCTGCAGCTTGAAGAAACTTTGCGTTGGAGAAACGATGTAGAAGTAGTAAACTTGCTAATCCAAGTATAGCGACATTTGCAACAGCACCAGTAACTACAACTGAAAACGAAATTACTTCAATGTGATATACCTACAATTTCTCACTTTAAACACTTACCTACGGTACCGCCAACTCCAATAGCGTCCACAAAAGCTAAAAATTAATATAGTGTTACATTTTCAATATGCATATAGATACAAAAAAGGCAGCTAATTCAAAGTTCAATGGTAAAAACTGTGGCTGCTACCAATAGCGCACCCAACTTCGTTGGAAAATGCGCTAAAAAGTTAAGAAAATTGCAAAATATAACACGTTTAAATTTACCGCCAAACACTATTGACACTGACTGTACTTTAAAAAATAAAAGTAGCGTCATATCTTGTAGAGAAATGAACGGACGGATAGACAGACGGACACACTATGGAAAATGTGGAATAATATTTTGTTACATTAGAGCGTCTATTCACAGAGATAGATATGCTGTACTTCAATTTATTGTTGTACCTAGGTATGTGTAAGCTCCTATAGTGCCTACCCTTCTAAAGGGTTTATGTTAAAACTCAAAAGAAATTATTTTGCCAGACGCTCCTAGATTTAAAATTATGTTGTAAAGATAAGAGTGAACTCCTCCTTTTATCAAATGGGGCGGTAACACGTAACTTAAGTTTGAATTCCGCAAGACGTGGCAGCACTTTCCTAATAAAATTTCGCTCGAATTTTACAGATGCAGCGTCCCGGGCCGTGTCTGTTTACTGGTACATAATAAACTTTTTTTAGTTGCTGTGAATGGATTTTGCCAGAGGAAGGTTAACGCTAGGATTGTATCGAATTTGTTTTGCTATTATTTTTGTTGTTTAAGATCTACGACCCTTTGAATATTGTCTAAAATAGCAATTCTTTATCGCTCTGTATCGTATGATTTGAAGTTACTATTTAAAATACAATTGGATACAATCCTAGATTACACCTTTATAAACATAATAATCATTCACTTTTACCATTATTACATTTTCTATACGAATAAACAGACACGGCGCGAAACACTTTTACATAGGTTTTTGCGCTGGTATAGAAGCCTCTTAACATAAGGTGAATCTAGTTTATTGTCAATGCAATGTACGAGAAGGAAAACAAATGGAGATTGGGACGTCTGGAAGAGAAGATCTCGAAAACGGTTTGTGGGAGGAATGTACTCTCAACGGGAAGAAAGATCGTCTAGACGAGACACGTCTACTTCCAATGTAAAAACTTAATTGTGAATAACTTGAAAATGTAGGAGTACCTAAACCATCCACAAAGGGAAACTTCAAAAATTTCGCTTGACTCTTCCTGCATTATGTAGCGTGGATTTTGAATGTACCTATGCCAGGCGGTCTTTACATGTGTATGTGCAAAGAAACCTTCTTCCTTTAATAACCTACTACTATAAGTGGGTAAACATCGATAAATATAGCACTTCACTTCCTTATATCCCAACTATTTACTATGCTATTTCGGTTTTTAAAAAATGTGCTTTATCGGCACAAAAGTTGTGCACAGTTTATGCTTGTTTTATTTTCTTTTTCAATGCAAACTCACATAATAGGAATTCAAACGAAGTGTGACACCCAGCAATGTGTAACGTTTCTCTCTTTCACAATTTAAATATATATATATATATATTCTTACGCGATTTATGTATTTCGTCTGTAATCCGTTTAGTTAAGATACCTATGGCATATTTGTTTTTACCTTAGTTCTATATTTCCGCCGCCGGCGTCGAGTGTTATTTACAATAGTTATCTGTTTCGCAGCCAGAGGTTGTGCAGATGCGTTTCGTGATAGTTCTAATTCGATCCTTTCTTTAATTTAATCTTGCGTACAGTTGTATTTTTTTGCGCAGAGAATATCTGCATTCACACTGGTTACGTGCAAACTATTCTTCTCGATACGCCATTACTGTTACTTGTCTTATTGTCTACCAGAAAAGGGCTCTTGTAGTGGGTATCACCATATTTCTTTGGAGTGTTTCTCTTTATTTCTGATGTGCTGTGGTGCTCTATTGAATACGCTTCTCAGACGTTGTAGTTTATCTCATGGAACACGTACATAAAGGTTTCGCCGTAATTCGACCCTACTTACAAAGTTACACAGAAAAAAATCGAAATCGTTGGAACACATAGTGTACCTATGCAAAGTAAACGCACGCTAGCGTAGTATTAAAATGCGAATTATTTTTACCGCATCAAGATATTGGTCATTTGAGCCGAATCAAATTTCAATTTTACAACGGTTCAGCAGATTAATCAAAAATTACGGTAAACCAATAAAAAAATGGCGTGTGAGTTGAACACACAGTGAAAAATGTTTCTTATCTATTTCGGTTTGACCTGCGTTTTAAATTACGTAACTGCGCGCGATAGTGCTTTACGAGTAGGTAGTTCTACTCCATTTAGTTTAGACCATGGTTTATATAAATAACGTACATCCAAGACCTCTTACCATCAACAAATTCTGCAAAGTTGGTAGGCGTAGGGCGATCGTCCTCCGTTTCATTCTTTCTCGTAGGTATCTTAAACGACGCGATGATTTTACCCGATTGATTTAGTAATGGTTTATACTTCTTTTCTATTGCAGCACCTAAAAGCAAATTAAAGTTTACCAGATCTACCACATCGAGCTAGGTAAAGTTTTACTCGTCAAGGGTAACAAACTTTCAGGAACGCCTGCGAATAAATCATTAACTTTTGAAATTTGTCCCATTTAACGTCACCTTCTGAAGAAATCGTGTCAAGTTTCTCTAACCCTTCAACAATGTATACGCTTCCATTCCCATCAGCGGAATAAGGAAGTGTAATTTTGCTAATGTTGCGACCATCAACGTTAAGAGTTTTTAGTTCCATTGCTGCTACATCTGCAATTATATCAGTAATTCTTAGGCCCATTGCAAAGCGGTACTTGCCTTCTGTAGGTGTGTCCCCCATTAAACTCGTCGAAGCATTTACAGATATCTGATCTAAGGATATATTAATTATTAGTTATCAGTAGTGATTAACGCATTAGGGCTTACTTTCATCTGTTCCGATTGTCAATACTGTTGCAGATCTTCCCTTCGGTATGCTAAGCTTTATTATGGTCTTGCCATCGTCGGTGCTAAAAACATCATACTGACCAGGCTGAGAACCGTTCACTAAAAGTTTAATTTTTATTCTACTAGAACTGTTGATGGGAGAACCATGCCTGCCATACCATTTTCTTCAATGATCAACGCAGTATTTGGCGATTTGTCTTTCTGATATGGCGCAGTTAAATTATGGACCAGCTTCCCACCCAGATCAAATGTTCCAAAATTGGCCAAATCCTTAATACCTATAATAACAATTGATTACCTGTTAATGCCTAGTCAGGAACGAGAACTGATGACGGCGGTATGCGCAACAATAGGAGAAGGTAAATTTCGACTTACTTTTGATTCCTTTCAATTCGTCTTTCGGTAATACAAACTCAATCAACATCTTGTTGGTATCATTAAACAAGAATTCGTGAGCGATCCCTAGCGCAGTTTCACCTAAAATGTATCACTTTTTTTGCACTACTTTGGCGACTAATTTCTCACCTTTCAGCGATGATAAGTCGATGAATTCTGTAACTTAAAATTCGTAACTAGCCCATTTCATTGTCTTGTTACCTTTGGTATTCGTTGGCAAGTCGTCGATACCTTCAATACCTTCAAATGTGAAAATTCGTTCCCTTGCGTCCTTATTTACGGCGGGTAAAGTTATTTTAGCGGAGTTTCTACCATTTAGAGCAAAAATTTCGAATTTCATTTGCGATTCATGGTTACCTAAAAAATTTAAGCTTAGTAAGGTTGGGCGTTCATTTTAACTTAAGGTTATTCTTAAACGCGTTACTTTCTCAAACTGCACATTCGCTTAGAGAGGATAGCATTCATGTTACACAAGTTATGTATAATATTTGCAACAATAACAACAATAATTGCGTTTTATTTTTAAAATAAAGAGATTCTTTGTAACGGGAGCCCGCTCGCGCATTTGATTTATTTAATTTTTTTTTCGTTTTGCGTATGAAAGCTTGGTGGCGACAGGAAGTCGCGAGATAAAGAAAAATTAATGAGAAATAAGGCACCGTCTCACTGAATCAGATCAGTTTCGTTATCAAGACTGCTGAGTCGAAGTTTTTGCTGAGTAGAGTTTTCTGATCAATGGGTTTGTGGAGATATGATTGTTAAGGGGATGAATATAATGTTGTGTAAAGAGTAGTAAGAACAGTTCGTAGTACCGCGAGAAGCTGTAATTACTCTGGCCCTGAACTAGGAAAGCGAGTTCTGCACCGATCACGCGATTGACGTTGTTGCACGCAGATAACGTAACTTTAAGTTACATTCTTTTTACTGACGGATTGTTCTGAGGCAATCATATCAAATCTCTAAAATTCGAACCGTATTTCTTCACAAAGTACAGGAATCACCATTGAATTTTTTTATCGTCAACCCTTGGGGATCAGGCTGCACTAGAATTGTACGATACAGGAATATCGGTTCCATAAAGTATGCTAGATAAGGTATATTTTTCTGTAATTTTCTTTAAAAGCGACAAATTAATCTTCGTAAGACGTAGTTGAATAGTAAGAGAAAAACCCGGCGAATTTGTGGTTTTACCTAAGATGGACGACACTTGACTTTGACACGATGAATCATGAAAATATTACCGAGTATAGCTATACTATACTATGGATTCAGTATTGATGCTCTCCCTTTATATTGTGGAGTTCCTCAAGGGTCCATATTAGGCCCTTTGCTATTCATTCGTTACACCGCAAATATTCACAAATGCCTGTAGCAGGTGAAGTTTCACCAGTGTGCAGATGATAACCAGCTAGGTATATTATCATTTTCATGAGTGCATGTAACACAAACTCAGGAATATGTAACCAGTGACTTTGCAAATTGATCGATGATCCTATTCGGGAGAGCGAACGATACAGAACAGAACAAAGGCCTGGTAAAAATTCGGATAAAAGACGTTATGAGTTCAAGATAAAGAACGTTGGAGTGATAATGGATTCTCATCTCCGTTTCAAAAAGCAAGTTTTAGAAATGATCAAAACGCCTTTATGAATTTAAAACTCATATTTCATCATCGCTATAGCGTAGATCAACATCTAAAAATCATATTGTGTGAGCACCAGAACTCTGGCAGGTCAATTATGGTTAGGGCCCTTATTTGGATACAGCTGACAAATATAGAGTTCAAATAATTCAAAATTCGTAACTTAGATTAATTTATGTTGATCGCATCTCGCATAAATTAACTGAAGCAAAATGGCTGAACATGGAAAATAGGAGACTTGTGTACTATACCTAAGTATAAAGGCAGATCTATTTAATTTGGGAGTCCGTCGAGTGTAGTGAGGCACTCAGCGTCAAGCTTAGTTGGAAGCGCGACAAGAAAAGATACTTACGTGTTAAACCAGGTTAGTATCGAGGAAAATTAAGTCACCGGCGAGTGCGTGTAAGACGATGAGGTTTAACGAAACATCCGTTTTGCGCCATGAAATATACCTGATTTAATGAACGCATGGTATATGGATGAACTTAACCGGACTCTTGATTACTACAAACTGTTCTGGATCTATTTATTATCTTCTAGAAGTTGGCAATAGAGTGTAGAATTAATTGCTCAATTTGTTGTGCCACTGATAGTAAAAGAAGATACAGTATATAATTGATCAGTTTTGTAGCCATTTCCATGTATAGATATGTAAATTATTAACGATCGTTTATAATTTTGTATTGCTGTCTGTCTGTCTGTCCGTCCGTCCGTCCGTCCGTCCGTCCGTCCATCCGTCTGTCTGTCCGTGTGCTAACTTTGTGTAGAAACGTTCGATCGCTTTGCAGATTGATACATATGTTCTTCGGGATATATGAAAGGTCGCTATTGTTTTTTGGCTGCGTAGACTAACGGGCCAAAAAGTTACCGCCCAAAAACTGCCCAAACCTCCAAAAAGGGTTTCTCTTATAACTCTTGTTACAAAGAACATATGAATGTCCGGTTTTCTGTGTTAGTAAATATTTCATAAACTTCAGGCAACTATGCAGATGCAAAAAACTTTTATATTTGCGCAATCCCAAATTTTTTATTTGTTAGGATATTTAATGGAAATTTTGTATGTAGGTGCCTCAAATAAAAGTAAAACTAGAGCCGAATCAAAAAATTTGTTTTGCGCATGCAAACTAATGCCGATTCAAAAGTTCTTTTTACAAGCCATGCTGATCTGGTGGGACAGAATCAACCCCTTAAGGTGTATTTGTAAAAATGATGTATGTGTGAAGATGTCGAGGATCGTTCGGTATTCAGTTGTATCGGATTTTTTTGCAGCATTCAAATAAGCTCCCATCATTTGGAAGGTGTCACAAGATTAATATTTTATGATTTCAGTTCCGTTTATTAATTATTAACCGATTTCATGTTTGTAATGTTAAGTGAAAATCAGGATAAAATTACGACGTCGTAGTTTGTGTAGGTAACGCAGACTTATACGCTTGACCCGAAAATTGCAAGAGAAAATGGGTATTAGGGGGACGTCTGAATTTAGAAATTTTAACCTGACCAATTAAGTAAGAATAATTATGGCTGGCTAGGCGGCTGTCCGGCTGAGATCTCAGCAACTACAATAGCTAGAGAGTTCAAATTTGCACTAAAAGCTTTCCGCTATAGTGCAGATGTGCAGGTTCTAGTCTATTTTGAGTTAGATTACTTGTGAGATCGATAATTTAAGAAAATAATTTTGATATGGATTTTGGAGGTGCTATAATTTTATCGTTAGATAGGGCTACCAGTATAACAACTTAATTATTTACTTTGCGATTTGTTTTACAAAATAAAGACGTACCCTCAATTGTAATTCAATAAAATTAATTATTTAACGCAGCCAAAATTACTCGTGAGATCAATAATTTTAAACTTCGCTAATAAAATACTGATCTGTATTACCAAAAATGCGCTTTAATCATGCATATGCTACTTTACAACTTGTTTTGGTTTCTATTTTATTTATTTCTATGGTTCATAATTCATTAATCATAATCATATGCTGGTATTGCATTACATCAGACTTTCTCAATCTTATAACTTATATTTGGGGTGCATATACATAATTAAATGTGAAATCGAAAACGTCCTATTTTGGTTTTAATCCGTAACCATCTTCAACGGTTGTTGAGGGTGTCAAAATTTTAAGTCATACAACGCGGCTTGAAAAAACTTTTTAAATTTTTTTCGCATACACTGGACAAAATGGCTTAAAAAGCTCTACAAAAAATTTCATTACAATTTTTTTCTGAGTTCCTTTGTTTTTGAGAAGTTTTGAATTGAAGTTAGACTATTTATTTTATTTTTTTAAATTCCTATTTTCTCTAAAAGTAAGCATCAGAGTGAAAAATATCAATTATAAAAAATATGTGTCTTGATGAGGGTTACAAAAAAGGGTTCTACACTTTTTGCGTCGGGTTCAAAATAAACGCGCTAGAGGGCATTTTCTAAATGTTATACTATGACCAAAGATAATTGCAATGACTATTAAAAGTAGTCGGAAAGTCAAGTCAGGAGTTTACCTGATAACTACTTTAAATGCTTTTGTGTTTAGAAATTATTTTGGTAAAGACTAACTGTAAAAAAGCAAAAAAATAATAATACTAGGGATGCCGCGAATTTTGTTTAATAAATTTAATGTGCTGCCAGACAAAAAAGTTTAAGAAACACTGATATAGACCGATCCCTTTAAAGATATTGATGAATGGGAATTTTGTCGGTTAAATAGTAGATAGGTATAGAGAAAACGTTCCTTAAAGACTCGGTCGGTTCATTTTTAACCGTTGGAAAATTTTAAAAGAAACATTTCCACTGTATAAAATATTTTAAATATGCATGAGATGAATAAACATAGAAGGTGTTTTCCATTCAAATTCAAAAGTAACAAAAATCTTCTAATTCTGTTGACCATATCATTTTTAGCGCATTTGCACAAAAATTTGAAAAAAAATGCGCTATTGTGGCCACTTCGTCCGCCCGTCCATCCATCCGGGCGCTACTAGATCTTTATCTTGAGCTATTGTTCTACCTTTTTCGCTTTTTGGTTCGCTATGGTGCGCGGCTTCCACCAAGGAAGTAATTTTGTCTGTGCAGCTTAAAAAAACGTTATATAGCGCGTTCGCACCTCCAGATGCAGTATGGGGTCTTATGGACTAATTGCCTCTCTTACTAGTTTGCGTCATTCTTCGATAATACTATCCTTGTTTCTGACCGCATTGATGTCAAATTGACATATGATTAAGTTGAAGTATTAAAACAATACATAATCTCCTTGCGCTGTCATTGTCACGTTTGGCAAGCATGTACTGTATGTCCATAAGCACCATACTGAATTTGGAGGTGCGAACGCGCTATAGTAAAAAATCTATGTTTGTCATGTAGGTACCATAATTTTACACGTTTGCCCCTTATTAACGATCCTCGAGATCGTTTATAATGTTGTATTGCTCCTTGCCCATCTGTCTGTCCGTCTGTCTGCCCGTCTGCGTCTGTCTGTCTTTGTGCAGTTGTGCATGATAACTTTTGTATTTGCGTAATCCAATTTTATTTTTTGTCCAGATATTTAAATAAAATGTTGTTTGTAGGCATCTCAAATAAATTTAAAACTGCGAATGTTAAAATAGGTATTCTCGATATTGATACATGCTACAACCAAAATACGCGGCAGGCCGATTTTGGTTTATTTTAAATTTTAATATACCTACGTAAATATATTTAAATTGTCTTTATATGCGATCACAGTGGCAGGTTTGGAAGAAATATACCAAACTTTCCTGATAAAATTTGGTCAGAGTATTTCCCTAAATTTGAGCCAGCCGTCGGTATATTTTGTGCGATTGTGAAATCTAACTTTAGAACTAGGTATTTTAACCCTGCAATGTAACAACCGTTACAATTAACAACGCGTTTGATAAACGGAGTCGTAAATTATGGAAAATATATCTAAACTAGCAGAACGTGTCAATTCTTCAATGACGTAAAGCTGTACTCTTTACTTACCCGTTTTCATATCCGAACTTGATCCATTTGTTGTAGAGCGTACAAGGATATTACCTAAAACAGAAACTATTTTTATTAGAGTTGGGAGCACGGAAGCTCCTTGTTTAGGAAATGTGTAAGTCGAGCTAACTTTTACACATTTGCCACACCCTTTATTCCTCCAATGGAACATCCAGAATGGTATTCTTGGTACTTACGACATAATGTACAAAAAACTATACTTAAATGATTTTAGGAAGAAAACGCACGACATTCTATACCTTTTTTTTGGACTCGAATGTCCATGTGAATGTAAATACTTACTACTATCTCTTTGTACAGTGATGATAGTTGGTACTTGAGATTTTGGAATAGTAAACTTAATATTCAACTTATCATTTACATCGTACACCTCGTAATGCTTGCTTTCTGAAATAAACATTTCTGCAGTTAATACAAAATAGAGTTAAAAGCGTTACCTTCGGTAGAGTCTACGTCTTGCTCATCAATAACCAGCACTGTACCATAGTAACCTTTAGCGGCAGAATTTGGTATGGTAACGTTAGTTTGAACTTGCCCGTTAGAATTAACCCTACTGAAATCGATTCCTTTTTTGCTATCTAAAATGCAATAACTTTTTATAAGTGAGTTGTAGTAGTTATTCGCGACTTACACGTGCCATTTCTAAATTTATCAAAATGTGCACGTGTGGTTGGCACCAGCGATCCTGCAAACATGCACAGTTAAATAGTAGATATTTTAATTTGTATGGGTACCTTTTGTCGGAAGTTTAATTTTGAGAATTTTTTGTTTCTGAAACTGTGAGAGAAATTCGTACGTGATTCCTGATTTTTTTCCTAAAACATAAGTGTGCACAAGTTGAAATTTCACTCGCAAGGAAAAGAAAGTGATCATACCTTTAGGTGAAGGTGACTCTTCCAGTGTAACTAAAAGTACATCGTATAGTACATCAAATAATTTACAACGGTTTGAATTTCGCGCCAATCAAAAAATGGCGGTTTATTTAAAATTACAGACGTGAAAATGAGTTTTACCCTTAGTGTCTGGTGCAACGTTGTCAATGTCATTAATCCCTTCGAGCATAAGAACCAATTCGCTTACATCTACACTTGCGGTAAAAGGTAATGTAATTTTCATGGTGTACTTTCCATTCGCTTTTACTATCTCCAATTGAGTGACAGCCGACTTCTCTACATCTACAAAAACAAACCATTTATTTAATGTTAGATTTTATTTTGACTTTACGATCTATTGCTGTAACTTTAAACCAAGCAGGTGGTAGTAGTTTCCCGAAGTCTATAGGGTCGCTAATAAGTCTGGAAACGGTCAAAAATCGGGGAAAATATGCAAGATATCAAAAAAAGTTTTTATTTGTTACTAAGTTGTAAACGTTGATTAACAAGACAAAACGCAAACGGGTAAACGTCAAGTTTAAACGCTACTGACTTGTAAAACTGACAGCAGACCTGTAAAAATTTTACAAGTTAGTAATCTAGTAATTTCATTGGCCAGAATTAATGCGAAGTCTCTGTTACATGGATAACATGATATTTTAGACATTTCTTCAAGATCAATTTAAGAACTAATTATTTACGTTTACTATTGTTTACAAATGAGTAACAAATAAAATATTGTACATTATACGCCAGGTAATAGTTTTTACTGGCTCTAGGAGATGACAAGCTCGCCTAACGGCTCGCTAGTCAACTTCTCCTATCACCAGTAAAAACTCACTTACCTGGCTAATAATGTAAAATACTATATACAAAGTTGTGGTGCTTTTCAATTACTGCTAGGCAGTAATAATTTTAATTATACAGGGTTGATCATCAAAGCGTGGTTTTCACCAGCTGGTGGCCGCCTTCTGGAGTTCCTGTTCGGTCTGGGTGCGCTGGGCATCGGATAGGACAGCGTTTTTGGCGAAGTATTTCTCCAGGTCGTCAAAGAGGGTAATGGGGTCTTCTAGTTGGTTTCCGGAGAAGGTTTGGAGGCCGATGGTAATACTCCGTAAGATCTAACGGATTCTGTGAGCGGTCCGTGTTTTTCCGACGGGTACTTAATACAAGCTTCATTTTTCTAACAATTATTGACGGAGATACAGTTAGGTACATTTTCGACGCCCAACGGTGGTGCACAAATTAACAATGTGACGTTGAAGTGTCGGCTTCGGGCACCATTACACATTCCTTTAATAGTTTGGTGAACATTATGTTGATATGATGGCGTAATATAGTTAATTATGAAAAGATAGGGAGCTTATTCCGACATTTATATTGAACTATTGTTGTGTAAGAGTACTACTTACCAGTTGCCAAAGTCATATTTGTAGTGGAAGTTGCAATAATTTGTTCTAAAGCAAATGAAGAATTATTATATTGTTAGCAATTAGCTATACTAACTATCATCCTTCTCGATCGTTAAAATCGATGAGGATTTTCCTCTTGGTGTCGTAAATTCAATTGTCATTATTCCATCCGTGTTATTAAAGACATTGCAGTCAGGTGCACCTGAATATCCCTGAGTAACAAATGTGAGTTTCTACCGTTCTTAATTTTACCTGGAGACTGAACAATATCAACTTCTTCCATCAGTATAATTGGATCGTGTTTTTCTGCTATGGCACGTGGTATAGTAATTACAGCATCGAGTTTTGTACCTAGATTTCTTCTCTCAAACACAACACCATCTTTCCTGACTAAGAAATGATGCTAAAAAAGGTCACGCTCGAGGTAAATACTCACAGGTACTATTTGCTAAATGCTTAGATGGTGATATTGAAGATTTAGCTGAAACGTATGCTTAATAAAAACTACGCAGAGCAAACAATCCACATTACTTGTTGCCTCTATTCCATGCGGAGGTAGTTCAATTTTGACGATCTGATTGTTGGAGGAACCAGGTTGAATTTCGTATTTAATTCCAGTTGTGGTCACACCTACAAAATATACAAGTTTCTCTTACATTGCGATTGGAGCACAACAAACCTTTGGAAGATGGCAACTTGTCAAGGTCAACTGTAACTGTAAGTGGTATTAGTAAGACAAAATCGTGTGCAAGGGATCTTACCACTGGTGGAGGTCGGGAGGCGGTTTATTTCCTTTATTCCGTCAATAACTAGAGTTATTCCACCGGTAAATTTGTCTACATAAGATGGTAACGTAATCTTTGTCGTGGTGTATCCATCAGTGTCATCTACCCATTCAAGTTTTAGTACTGCTGACTGTCCAGCATCTGAAACATAGTTAAAAACATCAAATAGGTAAAATTGGAAACAGTGTGTATGCGTTCTTTGCAAATGTCCGTTACTTGTTCCCTCATATTGCAAAATCGTGAACGTTACTTTTAAATTAAGGACGGTATTGAGAATATAAGTCTCTTTAGAATTAGGAAGCGACGTACCTTCACTCGTCATGCGTGAGGCCAGATTTGATCTACAGGTCACAATAATTTCGCCTAAAAATGTTTTTTATATACTGTCACATACCATAGGTGCAACTTCTCTCGTTCTACGTACCGTTAACTTTCCTGATACTTGCAGTGGTAGGAGATTTTCCTTTTACTGTCGCAAACCTGATCGAAGTTTTCCCATCCACGTCAGGGAGAACGTCGTACTCCATTCCTTCTGGAATATATCATTTGTGAATACGTTACCTGGTATTGCACAAACCTTTAGCACGATCTACTGGAATTTCATCAATAACCAATACCGTTGGAATACCATCTCGCAGTGCAGAAGAGGGTATTGCGATTACAGTGTCGAGTTCGTCGCCCAAAATTGTTCGCTCAAATTTGACGCCGTGTTTGTTGTCTGTTAATTAACAATTAGTTATTGGCAAAATATGTTCCTCCTTACTTACAAGTGCCATTTCCTAATTTGATGTCAGTAGTTTCAGGTAACTCTGAAAGTACCTATATTAAACCGGGTTGAAATTTGTAATATGAAATTTTTCATTGAGTATAAAAGAACACATGGATATTTTAAAATGGTTTAGTAGTTGAAAGGGTTTTAAGGATCGTTTCTTCAGAGTTAGGTTTGGAGTTCAATTGTTTCTTGGCGCGAATTTTGTGTTTGATATTAATATCATAGCAATCGGTTTTGAATAAAATAATTGATATAGATTGTCAAGTTGTAATTTTCAAGTCTAATAAAATATTCTTCCTTCGTATTCAATATTATAGAATCTCATTGGAATTTGGATCAAATATAATAGGTTATGGGCGAAAGCAACAATTATAATATTGGGATCCAGCAGTTTAACGGCTGCAATTTTGATGAGTGGCAATTCAGGGTCAAGATTCATATGGACTCCCTGAATTTAGTGGACGTTTTAACGGGCGATCCACCCACTGAAGGAAAGGATAGGAGTGACTTCTTGAAAAGAGATAAGAAAGCGAAGGACCGTCTGGTCAGTCTCATAAAAAATGAATGCTTGTCATATGTACGTGACAAGGAGACTGCTAAAGAAATGTGGGAAAGTCTCCACTCGATGTTTGCAAAAAAGTCTGCTGTTAATCAATTGTTAGTAAGGAAACAATTAGCGAGACTTAGAATGGGTGATGATGACAAAGTTACATCTCATTTGGTCAATTTTGAAAACTTGATTCGAAAATTGAAAAGTAGTGGTGCTGAAATGGAAGAAACCGATTTATTAGCTCAATTTTTCTTAACGTTACCTGAGAAATATGACCCATTAATAACAGCGTTGCAAAATTTGGATAAACTAACATTCAGTATAGTTAAGGAGAGGCTACTGTTAGAGGAAACCCGTTTTGCTGAGCGTCATGAGGATGAACCGCAACAAAAAACAGCGTTTGCAGGAAAGAAGAAGCACTGGAAACGTTTTCAAAGGAATACTAAATTCCATGGAAAGTGTTACAAATGCAATAAAATTGGTCATAAAGCTATGGATTGCAGGGTAGGTGAAGCGAGGAGTGCTACTAGTGGTAATTATTCTAACAGTATTTGTTTCATGGCCGATTCAAATCGAGAATTTGTGGAGAAAGGAAACCGCACCATTGTATTTAAGTTAGATTCAGGAGCGAGTGATCACTTGGCAAATAAGAAGTGGTACTTCGCAAATATGAAACAGCTGAGGAAACCAATCACAATATGTATTGCAAAGGAAAATGAATCACTGATCTCCACGCACTCCGGAGAAGTAAATGGAATAAGCAATAAAGGCATTGAAGTTTGTATGCGGGATGTACTGTACGTTCCAGATCTACGTGATAATTTGCTGTCGGTTAGAAAATTGACTAAAGCAGGTTTAAATGTGGTATTTGAGAAGAGTGAGGCGATAATTTTAAAAAATGGACAAGTTGTTGCGACTGCGTACTTAAATGGCGAACTCTATGAATTGGAAATTGATTTAGTGAGCAGTAGCGCCTTTGTGAGTACTACTAGTAAATTTGATTTGTGGCATAAACGTTTAGGTCATATTGGTAAAGATAACATGTTGAAATTAGTTAAAGAAGGTTTATTGGAAAATATGCAAGAAAAAGAGTCTGGACTATGTAAAATTTGTATCAAAGGTAAACTGACACGTAGTCCATTCAATCATACAAGAGAAAGAGCTAAACAGCCATTGGAGTTAATTCATTCAGATGTGTGTGGACCGATTAACCCAGTTGCTTGGAATGGTTCAAGATATTTCGTTTCCTTCATAGATGATTTTACACATTTTGCAAATATTTACTTGATTAAAAAGAAATCAGAAGTATTTGATGCTATGAAAGAATATGAAGCAATGGCTACAGCCAAATTTATACTGCCCATTTCAAAATTAAGAACAGATCAAGGTGGAGAGTACTTGTCTAAGGAACAGGATAAATGGTATAAAATGAAAGGAATTCAAATACACACAACGGTTGCATATTCGCCTCAGCAGAATGGAGTGGCAGAACGGTTTAATAGAACTCTCACTGAAAAAATTAGAATGATGTTGATGGAATCCCAGATGCCGAAAAGACTGTGGTGTGAAGCTGCTTTAACTGGAGTATATTTGATCAACCGAAGTCCTACTGCTGCACTGAATGACAACAAGACACCGGCTGAAAAATGGTATGACCATTCACCAGATTTAAATAAGCTGAGGGTGTTTGGGTGCAAAGCATTTGCTTGGATTCCTGATCAGCTGAGAAGAAAACTGTCTTCAAAATGCAGGGAATCAGTTATGATTGGCTATGCTCCTAATGGGTATAGATTGTGGGATATAGAAAAACAGCGAGTTTTTACTGCACGTGATGTCAAGTTTGATGAAGAAAGTTTTCCGTTTGAGAAAAGTCGTGAAAATGCTCATACCTATACAAAAACCAAGGAAAACATATTTCAAAGATCTCGAGCAAGAGGGGGAAAATGGTTTTGTCGAGAATGTTGATGTAATTGAAGATGTCTCGGAAAATTCAATTATTGAAAATCAACAAGAAACAACTGAAGAAGAAAATGAGTCTAATGCCGAGGCGCTCCCTTCGCCAAATAATCAATGTGACGAAATGCACTTGAGGCGGAGCGATAGGGAGCGCAAGAGACCGAGTAAGTTGAAAAATTTCTTTACTACTTATAGAGCAAGTACTGCTGGTAATGTTCTTCCAGATGTTCCGGAATGTTATGGAGATATTTTTGGAAGAGAAGATAGAGATTTGTGGATCAAAGCAGTTGAAGATGAACTCACATCAAAGGAGAAGAACAAAGTATGGAAGATTGTCGAAAAGCCCGGTTTAAAAAAAATTATGGAGTCAAGATGGATTTTTTCTATAAAATATGATGAAAATGGTGTTCCAAAGAAGCATAAGGCAAGACTAGTTATAAAAGGATATTTACAGAAACATGGCTTCGACTATTTTGAAACTTATGCACCAGTTGCGAAACTCACTACAATTCGAGTTTTGTTAGCTGTTGGTATTCGTCTTGGATATTTTTTTCAACAGCTTGATGTGAAAACAGCCTTTTTGCATGGAGATCTAAAAGAAGAGATCTACATGACCATACCTGATGGTATTACAAATGAAGAAAACAAAGTGTGCAAGTTATTCAAATCACTCTACGGTTTAAAACAAGCTCCTAGATGTTGGAATGAAAAGTTGAATAGTTATCTTTTGCAAATTGGATTTGTAAGGTCAAAACATGATTATTGTCTTTATACACGCAATGAAAATGGTCAACATATTTTTTTGGTCCTCTACGTAGATGATTTGCTTTTGGTTGGAAAAACACTTTCAGATATGGAAAATGTGAAGAGGTTGTTGTCTGAACAATTTTCAATGTCAGATTGCGGAGAGTTGAAAAATTTCCTGGGTATGAAGATTAAAATTGGTTCAGATTACATAAACTTATCTCAGCCCCACCATATTGAAAAGATTTTGAAGAAATTTGGTTTACAGGATTGCAATGCAGTGAAGACTCCTATGGAGAAAGGATTAAAGTTGCCTTGTACAAATTCTGACGACAATAACAACAGGAAATCATATCAAGAGTTGCTGGGTAGTTTGATGTATTTGATGTTATGCGTTCGTCCTGATATTTGTTTCCCTATCAGTTATCTTGGTAGATTTCAACAGCACCCTATAGAAGAGCATTACCAATCATTGAAGAGAGTTGTTCGTTATTTAAAAGGAACCAAGAAAATGGCACTAAGATTTTCTGTTAATAGTAACATTCCACTTGTGGGTTATGCGGATGCTGACTGGGCTGGAGATACTGCAGATCGGAAATCAACAAGTGGTTTCGTCTTTAAAGTTTTTGGATGCACTGTTTCCTGGTCTAGTCGAAAACAATCTACAGTAGCAACATCTTCTAGTGAAGCAGAATATGTAGCATTAAGTGCTGCATGTGGAGAAGCTATCTGGATAAAGGGTATATTGGAAGATTTAAATATAATTATAAAAGAAGGTGTAAATATTTATGAGGATAACAGAGGCTGCATTGGAATGGCTAAAAATATGGAATGCAAGCGCTCAAAACACATAGATGTTAAACATCATTTTATAAGGGACTATGTAGAAAAAGGGATTATCAAAATAGAGCCAATATCAACGAAAGAGCAAATAGCTGATATATTTACCAAATCTTTAGATGTAACTCAGTTTGAGAAGTTAATTTGCAAGATCGGATTAGTCGATTGAGAAGGGGTATTAATATCATAGCAATCGGTTTTGAATAAAATAATTGATATAGATTGTCAAGTTGTAATTTTCAAGTCTAATAAAATATTCTTCCTTCGTATTCAATATTATAGAATCTCATTGGAATTTGGATCAAATATAATATTTGAGTATTACAAAATATACAGGGTGGTCTCAGTAGAAGGTTGGTTTTTACAAAATGTTGAAATTTTAAGGCGAATGATCCTTTATTGCGGTCCTGACTGGATATTTGCATGCGAAAGGCTTAGGGTACCGGTTTGTCGCGCTATAAGACTAAATTAATGGAAAGTACGTGACAGTCAGGCCGAGAGCGGTCGTTATCCGGCCATGGGAATTGCCTAGTTTGCGGAAATTTTCCGTTAGGCAAGTTCGAGGTGCCTGACAAACTGAAATGAGTTGGGCGGTAAACAGAATTTAATTATATTGGCTGACAGATTCGGACATGGGTATGAGGGTAGTTTCAAAAAATAAAAGTGGTATAAGAATGAAATCTTGGAAAGCGAGCCGGGGGGATTAAGGTTTTAGACTGTGCGAGCGTGGTGTTGCACGATCAGAGAAGTTAATTCAGTCGGCCACATGCAAAAGTATAGCAAGGTGGTAGTATTATACATAATAAATAAGTCTTTCGGTATTACGCGGGTAGCCCCGAGAGAGTTCGCGTACAACGGATAAAAAATTGTAAGTGAGCCATCTGAAGTTTGTAGAGGAGATTTGGCGGCAGTCACTTACAAGACGAATCAGTAACCCCGTTACGCGACATCGAGGGGGAAACATTGTCTTTGCGACTGTGTACTTAAGGTAATAGTTAATAGTAATAGTAATAGGTTCAGAAACCACAAACAAAACCTATACTAGGTACTTATATGTAAAAATGGTCGCGCCACCTTTATCCGCTGACTGCGTGGTACTTTTTTCCATCATCTCAGAAGGTGCTTTAATTGTTATAACTCGCTTGTTAGAACGATCTGAAGCAATTTCGTACTCTAAACCGGATGTAACACCTACAAAATATGTATTGGTAACCCTTTTCGGAACAAGTACAACAAAAAAGTACAACCTTTGGATGTAGACAGGTCGTCAATGGCCACTACAATAAGAAAGATGTAGTGCGCAATTCCGCAGTGCGTGGAAATTTACCTGTTGTTCCAGGTGGTATGTTATCCACGTCTTTGGCCCCTTCAAAAACAAAAGCCAGCTCACTTGAATCATCGGTCGGAGAAAACGGTAACGTAACTTTTGCAACGTACGCATCGTTTTTTTTAGTCGTTTCAAGTTTGAAGCCGCCTGAAGCCTCTGCAATAGGTTCACTATTAACTATGTACAGTACTAAATAGTCATAACTTACGAACTGCTGCAGTAGAAGGATCAATATTGGTAGATGAAGTGGCAATAATTTCATCTGAAATAGAGAGCGAATTTACAAGTGTTCGACTAGTAGTCTACCTCACTTCCGTCTTTCTTGATGGTCACCACAGTTGGAGATTTCCCTTTAGGGACGGTGAATTTGATAGTGGATCGACCTTCCTTGTCCAACAAAACGTCATATTGTGCTGCTTCTGCGATTATAGGGTGATGAATTGTAATAAACCTTCTTTGAACTTACCACCAAGTTTAGTCACACTGGTTTCTTCTATACGTAGTGTGTGGGGAATATTCTCCTTGAGTTGCGCATATGGTATTGTTACAATGGTGTCAATTTGGTTATTTACATTGCTTCGCTCAAACTTCACCCCATCCTTGTTATCTTTAAAAAATGAAATCGAATTTTGTTACATAGTTTTGTGTTGTCCTTACTCACATGTAAAGTTTTGGAAACCGACCGGAGTTGCAGTTGTTACGGGTTCACCTGTACATAATATAGAGCTTTTGTAATCAGTACCTACTTCCCACAATGGTTTATTAAACTAAGTGTGAGCATAGTACCTAAGTAAATATGACACTATGGTGGGGGGTGCGCCCAGAGGTACCTAATTAACCTTGATCGTATTCGAGTTACCATAGTTTTTTGCATCACAGCATGACGTTATTTTGTACCTACTTTTGTGATAATCACCCGTGGTGTAACGCGCGCTATCTTTGTCTTTTTTCCCGGCATCCAACGAATTTGTTATGACATCTCTTCGACTTGAGCTCTGTCGCGGCTTGACCCGCAATCCCCACGGCTCTCTTAGACTGAACTTTCTCTTGTTGATAAAATAAATTTTCTTGAGCGTCAAAACTTTTATTAGACGAAGTTTACGCCCTCGCGACCGCACTTCTCTTGCATTTTTTCTCAGAGCTCGCGAAACGAAACAGAAATTCCGTTAGTGGTCGCACTCGATCGATACTCTCCGCCGTGTTCTCCGCCAATTGCAATTTACTGTTCTTATCTGCCAGGAAAACCTAAACGACGCCAACGAAAACTGAATGACTCGCGTTGTTTACCCCGTCCGGATGTCGCCATAAACATATTCGAAATTCCCGCTCGCATGAAGCGGTATCTATAAAAATTGACGTGTATGGCTTCCAGTTTAGACCATGGCCAGAAGGAGCGAATTAAAGACGGGCGAATATTTGGGAATTCGCTCCTTCTAGACAAGGTTTAACGATAGCCCGCTCACGGATTTTGTTTAATTCGAATTTTACATAAATTTTGCCGATTCAGAGGTAATGCACCCCACGCAAAGTTGAGTTATGGGTGCCAAGAAATCTAATTAGCAAAGAAAAAATTAGGTTTATTGGTGGAATTAGAGTGAATCAGAAAAAGTGAAGTAGTGGCAATTAGGTGGTAGAAACCTGTGGGGTAATTCGTGATAAGTCACGATATCACTCGCGTCGAGCGGTTAAAGGAATTTAGCTTAAGCGGCGGTGGCGAGTTTGCGTAGAGATCTGTTGGAAAAATTCGAGTAAAGTCGCACGCGATCAAAGGTTTATAGTGATCTACAATTCAAAGGAGATATCCGAACAGGCGAACAAGAGCGTAAATTTGGAACTAAGAAACAAATCATGGTAATATTTTGAAGATCAATGGACTAAAAGTAAAACTTACATGACGTAATTCACTGCCCGTCTGCAGCAGTCGATTTGTGCGCAGATAACAATTGTTTAATGATTTTATGCTTACCGTCGGATTACGTAATTTTGAGTAATCGTGTAGAAAATTCAAAATCAAAGAAATCATACCTTTTTTAAAAATCAAAACAATTGCAATACCTTTACTCGATGACTGCGTCGTAATTTTCTCCATCATCTCAGAAGGTGCTTTAATTGTTATAACTCGCTGGTTAGAACCATCGGAAGCAATTTCGTACTCTAAACCGGATGTAACACCTACAAACATGTATTGGTAACTCTTTCTAGCACAAGTACAACAAAAAAGTACAACCTTTGGATATGGACAGATTGTCAAGGACGACTACAAGAACAACGATTTAGTACGCAAAACCGCAGAGAGTTCAATTTTACCTGTTGTTCCAGGTGGTATGTTACCCATATTTTTGATCCCTTCAAGAACAAAAGCCAGCTCACTTGAATCATCGATCGGAGTAAACGGTAACGTTACTTTTGTAATGTACGCGTCGTTTTCCATACTCGTTTCAAGTTTGAAGCCGCTTGAAGCCTCTGCAATAGGTTCACTATCAATCGGTACAGTACTATAGTCATAACTTACGAACTGCCACAGTTGAAGGGTCAATATTGGTAGAGGAAGTGGCAACAATTTCATCTGAAATAGAGAGCGAATTTACAAGTGATCGACTAGTAGTCTCTAACTCACTTCCGTCTTTCTTGATGGTCACCACAGTTGGAGATTTCCCTTTAGGGACAGTGAGTTTGATAGTGGACCGACCTTCCTTGTCCAATAAAAGGTCATACTGCGTTGCTTCTGCAATTATTGAGTGATGAACTGTAATACAATATCTTCTTGAGCTTACCACCAAAGTTGGCCACACTGGTTTCTTCAATACGTAATGTGTGGGGAATATTCTCCTTCAGTTGCGCGTATGGTATTGTTACGATGGTATCAAGTTGATTATTTACATTGCTTCGCTCAAATTTCACGCCATCCTTGTTATCTATAAGAAAATGGAATCGATTTCTGTTACATCTTTCATTGTTGGTCTTACTCACATGTAGTGTTTTGGAAACCGACAGGAGTTGTTGGAGTTATAGATTCACCTGAACATATCAAAATGAGCGCTTTTGTAATCAGTACGTTCTACAGCGACTTAGTGGGTGAAACAGGGGTTCAAGATGACTATAGTAGATACGGCGAAAGTTTAAAGTGAATGCATATATAGTTTTTAGTCCATTTTTTAAGAAATAAAAAAAATGTGCTATTGTTTGTGTTTTGCCCGTCCGTCTGCCTGTCCCTGATCTTTTAATTAGTTTTAGGGGAATTTTTGAAAATGGAGGGGTGGGGGAAGGGGAGTTAAGCTCACGTTATGTTAATTGGGAATTGGTTTTACCTTTCATTGTACTCTAATTAAAGGTCTGACCGAAAGGAACTTTTTTTTTACTGTCAGTCTCTTACCCTTACCTTTGAATGTAAAATAATTTTATATTCAAAGCCCTTACTCAAAATTGAGAGGGAGGCGGGAGACACTGGTTTTATTCTTCATAATACTCTAATGGAAGGTCTCAACGAAAGGAATGAACTCCTACTCCTCTCCTCTCCAACATCTTTTCGAGAGAAGTTACAATTCCTCATATCTGAAGAACAGAATGTCGGGTATGAGTACACACAAAGGCAAAAATATCTATTGATGATGTCAAAACTGTATGTGGGGATATCTCGTGAACGGAGTGTCAGAGGGGAGTACACAAAAAGGGAAAATGGAACGTTTTGAAAAAAATGTATTTAATGGTAGAGTACTTAGAGTACTGACAAAGAGAATATAGAGCATCTGGACGAGACACATCTATTGGTAATTTAGACGAATATCTCTGGGGGTGCTAAAATGCGTTTTATCCTGGACAAGAGTTGTGCACAATTTGTACTTGATTCAATTAGCAATTGTTTCGACGCGCCTTGACGTAATCGGCCTTTATCGTATTCGAGGTACCGTGGTGTTCTGTGTCAGAGCATGAAGTTGTTTAGGCCCCCTCCTCCGACAAAGCGTTTTCGAGATACTTTGCCTTTACTAGAAGCATATGTATGTGTGTATGTATTTCCAAAAAATATCTCTATAAGTAAGAAAGTTGACATTGCGCATGCGCACATTAATCGTCAAGATTTTTCTCGGTTGAGGTTCCGTGCTATTAGCTACCGAATGTAAAACAAGTTAAAAAGTAATCGTAAACGATTTACATAAAGCGCATTTCCACTTGCATTCATTTCCCATTTGTAAGATGCAACTACAATGCGATCAAATATGAGTTGCTGTCGAGTCACCTTTGGAATTTTTGTTTACATGGGAATTCGTATTTAACTTGAACTTCCAAAGGCGACTCGACAGCAACTCATTTTTGATCGCCCGTTACTGTTAAAATCGTAAAAATCCGACCACAAATATGAAACATAGCGTCGTTGCACATGTGCAGTCCATTTTTGACGTGCTACTTCAATTCTTTTCTAAATAAGAAAGTTGGCACTGCGTATGCGCAAAATAAAATGTTGAAACTGGCGTTAGATTTTCCTTTATTCCAAGCACCTATGTATTAAATTTCATTTAAATACTTCCATATATAAAAAAGTTGGCACTGCACATGCGCAAAATCAAATTTTGAAACTGGCGTTAGATTTTCATTTATTCCAAGTGCCTATGTATTAAATTTCATTGAAATACTTTTATAAATAAAAAAGTTTGCAATTCGGTTTATAAATGGTCGAGATGCGAAAAGGGCACTGTGAATTTTGAATCGATTCGACTCAACTTTTGGCATTGCGTATTATTATTATATTATATATATTATTATTATATGCCCATATTGAATTTCATGCAATTCAGTTCATAACCAAAGGAGATGCCAAAGCGATCGGACATTTCTAAACAAAGTTATCGTTCACACGGACAGATAGTGGGACAGACAGACAAAGGAACAGACGGACAGACCAACAGACAGACGACAGACAGCAATACAAAATTTATAAACGATCTCTAGGATCGTTAAGAAACGGCAAAAGTGTAAAATTACGGAACATGTAAAAAATGGTTTTTTGATTTTTTTACAATAACTTTTTTAGCAATAAACGCAGAAAAAATTCCTTTCTTGCTGCAAGCCTCGACACCACAACAAACGAAATAGCGAAAAAACTAGAACAATAGCTCTTAAGATATAAAGAACTAGTAGCGTCTCAACGAACGAGCGAACGGACGGACGGACGGACGGACGGACAGACAAATTGCCCACAATAGCGCATTTTTTTAAATTTTTGTGGAAATGCGCTAAAAACCGAAGTAAATATCTTGAAAACACTGTAGGAGTAGTTAATGTCTCGCAGGGACGGGTGGACGGAGAAAGTGACCATAATAACGCCTTTCAACACGAGTTGGAAAATGCGCTAAAAATAGTCAAAATACCTTTATCCGGTGACTGCGTTGTAGTTTTCTCCATCATCTCAGAAGGTGCTTTGATTGTTATAACTGGCTTGTTAGAACCATCTGACGCAATTTCGTACTCTAAACCGGATGTAACACCTACAAAATATGGATTGGTAACCCATTTCGGAACAAGTACAACAAAAAAGTACAACCTTTGGATGTAGACAGGTCGTCAATGGCCACTACAATAAGAAAGATGCAGTGCGCAATTCCGCAAGTGTGGAAATTTACCTGTTGTTCCAGGTAGTATGTTATCCACATCTTTGACCCCTTCAAGAACAAAAGCCAGCTCACTTGATTCATCGGTCGGAGAAAACGGTAACGTAACTTTTGCAAAGTACGCATCGTTTTTTTTATTCGTTTCAAGTTTGAAGCCGCTTGAAGCCTCTGCAATAGGTTCACTCTCTCAACTGGTACAGTACTATAGTTATAACTTACGAACTGCTACAGTTGAAGGGTCAATGTCGGTAGAGGAAGTGGCAATAATGTTTTCTGCAATAGAGAGCGAATGTACAAATTGTGGGACTAGTAGTCTAACTCACTTCCGTCTTTCTTGATGGTCACCACAGTTGGAGATTTTCCTTTAGGGACAGTGAGTTTGATAGTGGATTGCCCTTCCTTGTCTAACAAAACGTCATACGGCTTTGCTTCTGCGATTATTGAGTGATGAACTGAATTAAATCTTCTTGAACTTACCACCAAAGTTAGCCACACTGCCTTCTTCTATACGTAGTGAATGCGGAATATTCACCTTCAGTTTTTCGTATGGTATAGTTACAATGGTCTCAAGTTGATTATTTACATTGTTTCGGTCAAATTTCACCCCATTTTTGTCATCTATAAAACTATAAGTGCGGAAACCCACAGGAGTTGGAGTTGTTATGGATTCACCTGAACATAATATATAATCTACAGTTGTTATTAAACCTTTGAATATAATAGTAGGTGAAAGCAGGAGTTCCAGTTGACTACGTTAGTAGATACGGCAAAAGTTAAATAGTAAAGTGTGCATATGAACGCATTATGTTTTTTTTTTCAAATGCCAATAATTGCTTCGGCACACCCCCACGTAGGTACCTAATTGGCCTTTACCGTATTCGAGTTACAACGTGCTCTACGTCAGAGCATGAAGTTATTTGGATCCATTTCTGAGCCCCTCCACCCCCTCTTCTAAATTTCTTCAAAGAAACCTCGAGTTGAGGTCTGTCGCGGCTCAACCCGTAATCCCCACGGCTCTGTTAGAACGAACTTTTTCTTTGCTGATAAAATAATAACAATTTGAGGCCTCTCGCGGTCGCACTTCTGGATGTATTTTTGCTCAAAACCCCCGAAACGAAATAGGTATTCCGCCAGTGCTCGCACACACTCAATACTCTCCGTGCGTTCTCTAGCTACCAATCGCAATTTACAGTTCTTATCTGTAAATCGTAGCGACCAGAAAAACCGAAACGACCTCAATGCAGATTAACGATTCGCGTATGTTCTTATCCGCATAAAAAAATGTTGATGAAGATTTCTCCGAAATAAAACGTTTTATTTAAAAATCTCGTAACTCTGTCTTGTAAAACTCATATATGAGAAGGTGTTAATTTAAAAGTTACCGAAAGCTAGAGGTGACTTAGGAATAGTCACATGTTCGGAAACCACATACCATATAGCTCTTTTAAAAATAAAAACAAATGCAATACCTTTACTCGCTGACTGCGTTGTAATTTTCTCAGAAGGTACTTTAATTGTAATAACTCGCTTGTTAGAACCTTCGGAAGCAATTTCGTAGTCTAAACCGGATGTAACACCTACAAAATATGTACTGGTAACACTTTTACCACAAGTACAACAAAAAAGTACAACCTTTGGATATAGACAGATTGTCAAGGACCACTACAATGACAACGATTTAGTACGCAATACCGCAGAGAGTAGCATTTCACCTGTTGTTCCAGATTGTATGTTATCCACATTTTTGACTCCTTCAAGAACAAAAGCCAGCACACTTGAATCATCGACCGGGGTAAACGGTAGTTTAACTGTTGTAAAGTACGCATCGTCTTTTTCATTCATTTCAAGTTTGAAGCCGGTTGAAGCCTCTGAAATAGGTTCACTATCCACTCGTACAGTACTTAGTCATAACTTACGTACCTACTGCTACAGTTGAAGGGTCAATATTGGTAAAGGAAGTGGCAACAATTTCATCTGAAATAGAGAGCAAATTTACAAGTGATGGACTACTAGTGTAACTTACTTCCGTTTTTCTTTATGGTCACCACAGTTGGAGATTTTCCTTTAGGGACAGTGAATTTGATAGTGGACCGCCCTTCCTTGTCCAACAAAACGTCATACTGCGTTACATCTGCGATTATGGACTGATGAATTAAATGAAATTTTCTTGAACTTACCACCAAAGTTAGCCACACTGATTTCTTCAATACGTAGTGTGTGAGGAATATTCCCCTTGAGTTGCGTGTACGGTATAGTTACAATGGTGTCAAGTTGATTATTGACATTGCTGCGTTCAAATTTCACCCCATCCTTGTTGTCTAAACGAATGAAAGTCCTCTTTGTTATCTATTTCTTTGTTATCTTTACTCACATGTTGTACTTCCTATACCGGTAGGAGTTCTTGGAGTCGTCTCGGATTCACCTACACATTTCAATTTGAGTATTTTCAAAATTAGAGGCTTTTAGAATATGGTTTTACTGTAGACCTTTAAATTAAGTAGAGATCAAACATAGTTTTATGAACAAATGAATGGTAAAAATGAATTTTCGCCTGGTAGCCTAAATTAAGATTTAAAATGAATGATTTTTTACTCACTACATTGGAACAAGGAAATTTTATACGTACAAAAGACCACATTGTAACTTTAGCGTTTTTTATCATGAGATTATATTAAGTTGAAAGATGCTACGTTATGAGGGACGTGTTTAAGTCGCCCGGGGGGTGGATAACGCGACTCTGCAAGACGGTTCGCAACATTAAAATGTTGATGGTAACCGTGTACCGCTAATAAAGTACCAATTAAACAGTGATCGTGAACAACTGTGTAGTATGAAAATATTGATAGTTAAATTGTAAGGGTGTACAACAATGTTAAAAAAACCGCGCTTCCCAATTAAATAAATGCAGCAATACTTGAGAACTCCGATAAATCGAAGAATTATTGATGGTTGTCCATAGAAGCAGCATTTTGTTTTTTTTTATTGTAATTTTATTTTGAGTGCTAGCGTTTGTTAACAAAAACTTTAAACGACCGGTTTTGAATTTATGGCGAAACCTATAAAAGTTGAAACAGCAAAGATGGGAATCAAGTCACATACCTTGTGCAACTGGTGGTTTTTTTGAAGGTACCATAATTTTGACTACAATTTTTTTATTATCATCCTCAAGTACTTCGTAGTTTACTCCAGTTTCAGTCGCACCTATAACACGGCATTACAACGATTTCAACCTAAGTACAGTTGTACAACCTTTGGAAGGAGACAGATCGCCAAGATTAACTGAAAGAAGATTATGATAAAACTAATTAATTGGTTAGTGAAGTGTTCTACCAATAGTATTTGATGGTATTAGGTCGACATCTTGTATGCCATCGATCGTATAGGTTATTCCCTTTGTCGCCGTCTTGAAACCGAAAGGTAAGGTAATGGTAGTGATATGTTCGGCATTAAGCTCTGATGATTCAAATTTCATTGAAGATGAAGGGCCAGTTGCTATAATCTGGTTTTGTAATACAGTCAAATAGAATAATAGTGTCTAACCTTCAGAAAAAAGGCCGTCTAGTCTTGTTGCTACGTTTATAGTGATGTCGTCTGAAACAAACAAGACTGTACGTGCATTGGAATATGTTCATTGCAACTATTTACCATCGCCCTTTTTGATTTCCACTCGGCTTGGAGCTACACCCTTCGGTATCGCGAGTTTAATCGTGGTTCTTCCATCTTTGTCCAAAAAGACGTCGTATTTAATTTCGTCTGAAACTGTTACGCCTGTAGCTACCACATCGATTTCTTCGATGGATAAGATCGTTGGGATGTCTGCTTTAATAGCGACCTTCGGTATGGTTACAATGGTATCGAGTGTTCCGGCCAAACTCCATCTTTCGAATTTAACTCCATCTTTGCTAACTAAAATGGTAGGAATGTTTGCGGTAAACTGTTTCACCATGTGACTCCTTACAGGTGTGATTTCCTATGTCTGCCGCTAAACCTGTTGGTGGCGGTGTTAGAGGCGGCCCTGAAACATTTAGGGATTGCAATGCAAGTTATAGTTTTTTTTTGCTTTTCCTTCTAGCCCAACGGTTAGGAAACATTTGAATAATTACCAGGAATTGGTGCAGGTTTAATTGGACTTGCCGTTGTTGTCGGTCCTATAAAATAATATACCCAGTGGAGATAATTGATCCAGTGCAACAAACTCACGTTTCGTCCTTCGAATTAATCCCCCGCCCCAACGCGCTGTCTCCGTTGCCAGTTGCTCTAATTTACGATAATATACAGTGATAAGCAGTGTAGATGGTCTTTATTAAAGTACGGTGACACCATTATTTAAGAGTCAGAAAGGTTTATTAAATGGTTGACGTTTTGGAAAATTTTAAGCAACTTGATGGGCTTTGAAAATACGTTGCATCTCTTAACCTTGCAGGGAGTCGCCGAAAGGGTCCCAGTTGGATACGTGTTTGGTATAAATGTACCGTAGAGAATTTTCTAGAACGTTATCAAAGCGCCATCAGAGATACGGTATAAAAGCGGATGTGACTAATTCTTTCTGTGAATATGACCTTCGAAAATGTTCTAGAAGCTTTTTGTTTGCTATATTAGCAAATTAAATTGTGTTTAGTGCGAAATCCGACTGGTGTCTAAATGTGTGTCCACTTTCATTTTTTTTATTGCTCTGGTCCAGAAAATGTGAAAGTGCCTAATTTTTATAGTTTTTGAATAGTTACCCTGAACGGTTGCAGGTTGAGTTGGAGTTGATACTGTTGTTGGTCCTATAAAATAATGTAGTGGAGATCATTCATCCGGAACAACAAACTCACGTTTTGTTCTTCGAATTAGTCCCCCACCCCATTGCGCTGTCTCCGTTGTTACTTGCTCTAGTTTACAGTAAAAACTAATAGTATAAAATCGCAGGTAAGGCCAACCTTCGCCCATTTGTTTAGCGAGTGAAATACTTCTTTTAGTTATCTTAATATGTAAACAGACACATTGCAAATGGTTGCCTAAAAGACAAAATTAAAACTATGTACCCTTAATGTCTGATTGCTAAAAAATATATTTCACTCGGTAAACAGATGACCGAAGGTTGACCTTATGTGAGATCTTGTACTATAATGCAGAAAGCATTCCACGGGTGTATTTACATTTCAAAAAATGTTTCGGCAAAAGTTTACCTGTGTCACCAACTGATGTAGTAGGAGCAACTGTTGTTGTGGTAGTAGTTGCTGTAAAAAAAGCAGATACTGATTAGGTTTTAATGCTAGAACAAAAATAGGAAGCAAAATGTATGAGTAGAATGCCGACACTTACCCCCACCACTTTCTGTGACGTCACGGAGACCTTGGGTTTTTCCCAAGGTCGTGGCCTTGGGTTTTTCCCAAGGTCGTGGCTTTGGGTTTTTCCCAAGGTCGTGGCTTTGGGTTTTCCCAAGGTCGTGGCCTTGGGTTTTTCCCAAGGTCGTGGCTTTGGGTTTTCCCAAGGTCGTGGACCTTGGGTTTTCCCAAGGTCGTGACCTTGGGTTTTCCCAAGGTCGTGGTTTTGGGTTTTTCCCAATGTCGTGGCTTTGGGTTTTCCCAAGGTCGTAGTCTTGGGGTTTTTCCCAAGATCATGGTTTTGAGGTTTTTCCAAGATCGTGACCAAAGTACAGGATCATGGTCTTGGATCCTGGGGCAGGGTTGTGATTATGGATTCTGGATCAAGGTCGTGGTCTTGGATGCTGAGTTGAGATTGTGTGATTTGGATTCTGGGATTTGAGTTTGGACTAAAATTGTGCTCTGGGATTTTCCTAGCGAATTTAAAAGAGAGAGGTGTAGAGAAAAATAAGAGATGCTGTATTACAAACCTAATCTAAGTACATACTCTTAGAAAATGGTAATCCATACATTTCAAATTTTACAAAGAAGAAGAAGAGGAAAAAGCAAAGCGAGAAGCAAGCAAAACAAGAAAATATTTGTGTACTTACTTTTTCTTAGTTTTTGTTTGAAAATCCTTGTTTTTCCAAGTTTATCCACACACACACACACCCTCCCTAACACATAAGAAAGAGAGAGATGCACAGATTAGCACTGTATAATTACGTAAACTGCAGTAGATTATGCGAGTCTAATAAAACTTGTAACAATACGTTAGGTGATGTTAATGAGTCGGTAGTCAAATACTAACTGAAATTAGAGCGTACATTTCTTATTTGGGTATTTCCCGAGGCCATTGCAATGGGTTTCCTCAAGTCATGGCCTTGGACTATGAACTTGTCGTAGCATTGGGTTTTTCCCAAGGTCATGGTCTTGGACTTTGACCTCCCCAAGGTCATGGTCTTGGACTTTGACCTCGAGTTTTTCCAAGGTCGTGGTCTATTTTATTCAGTTTGTTTGCATACTTCGACGAATTTACAATGGAGAATAAGATTTATCACCCCTTTAGTGCAATCGTAAGTGGACCAAGCGGATCTGGAAAGAGTTATTTTGTTGTAAATTTTCTTAAAAATGTAGGAAACATCTGCAACGTAGTGTTTGAAAGAATAGTATGGCATTACGCTGAATGGCAGGAATTGTACGACGATTTAAAGGGTATTGAGTTTCATCAGGGACTACCTGACATGTCTAATTTCGATGGTTTAAAACCAACACTGGTGATCATAGATGATCTAATGCGTGAATCAAATGGGTCCATGGTAGACATTTTTACAAAAGGTTGTCATCACCGAAATCTTAGTGTATTTTTCTTAACCCAAAACATATTCCATCAAGGAAAAGGCCAGAGAGATATTTCTTTAAACACTCATTACATAATTCTATTTAAAAATCCTCGTGATCGTGCACAAATTAAGCATTTAACTCGACAAATTTTACCTGAAAATTCAAAGTTTTTAGAGGAAGCATATAATGATGCCACATCTAAACCACATGGGTATTTATTATTCGATTTAAAACAAAGTACACCGGATGTATTCCGATACAGAACGTCGATTTTCGAAGAAGACGGCGCGTGTGTAGTATATACCCCAAAAAAGGGTATTAAAGGTTTAAATCTTGATAAATTAGGCATTATTAATTTATAATGTCTGCAAAGCTGACTAAACACGCAGAGTTGCTGCGTGCTCTCGCAAAATTGGGGCCTAAGGAGCGTCAAGCCTTAATAAAATGTTTGGATGATGATCAAATTCATTGCATATGTGAATGCATTTACAATACTTTAAAAGGTAAAGCTGAACTGACTGATAATCAGAAACGAAGTCTCAGTCGTCATAAGACTATCTTGAGACGTATGGTAAAGCCTCACGAAACAATAAGAAAGAAAAAACAGATCTTGGTGCAAAGCGGAGGAGCGTTCCTGCCATTTATATTAGGACCATTACTTGGTGGTATACTCGGAAGTTTGTTTAAATAATAATAATTATGGAGCACGGAAAGAAAATGTTACTCGTGCCTCAAGAAGTTATACAGCGGCTTAAAGCAAATGAGAATAGGAAAGAAGATGTTTTATCACGGATAGATGATGAAATGATGCAAATCTTAAAGTCGAATTTGTCTGATCATGATAAGTGGCAGCAGTATAATCAAGTTCTACAGAAATATTTACATTTTGCTGACCAGATGCGGAAGCCAGTAAGCATCTCAATTGATTCAAGGCCAGAGGGTATATCGGAGGTTGACATATTAACCACAATACCGCAACTTTTAAGAAGAAAGCCGAAGGATTTTTACGGATGCTCACGGCCTCAAGTAACATCGGCTGGGATAACAAAGGAATTGTCACAATAAAAGGTGAGGTTATTCCTTCGTCGAATATTATCGATCTGGTCCATGATACAATAAGACCGAGGAAGACATCAAACCCCGAAGGTTGGGAGAAGTTTGCGGCTTATGTTAAAGAAATCAATGTACCTCAAGAATTCGTGGGCAACGTGAGAAGACGGAATACCCCGCCTCACCGTACCAGCACGGTAAAACTTAATATAAATCGAGATAGAAGCTTTACCGATTACGATGCCGATTCCGAATTAATTTTACCACAACAACAACCACCCCAAAAACGCCGAAAAAGAACTAAACCTCTCAATATCTCTGAATCTCTGTGGGAAGCATTTGAACTTTAAGGATGGATATCATATATTACGATCCGGCCCATCCCGCAGGTTTCGCTGGAGCATCGTCCTTGCTAGCAGAAATAAAGAACAAATACCCCGCTGAAGATATCAAGACATGGCTGCAGAAACAAGAGGCTTACACTATGCACAAACCTGTTAAAAAGAAATTTGCCCGAAACAAGTACATTGTCAATAATATGTTTGAGCTCTTTCAAGCCGACCTATGTGATATGAGAACTTTAACTAAGTTTAATGACGGTTACAATTACATATTAACAGTCATAGACGTATTCAGTAAAAAAGCGTGGGCAAGACCCCTCAAGCAGAAAACAGCATCTTCCATAATTGAAGCATTTGCATCAATCTTTAACGAGTGTGGTAATACACCGGATAATATACAAACCGATAAAGGGAAAGAGTTTATTGCCGGTGATGTTCAAAAATTCTTTAGAAAGCATGAAATAAATTACTATGTAACTCATAATCCTGATGTAAAAGCGGCCGTCGTTGAGAGATGGAATCGGAGTTTAAAGTCCAGAATGTGGCGATGGTTTACATATAGTAATACGTATAGATATGTGGACGTTCTACAAGATCTTGTGTCTGCGTATAACAAGAGTTATCATTCTGCAATCAAGATGGCACCGATTGAGGTGACAGATGAAAACATTTTAATCGTTTGGCAGAATCTGTATGCGAAGGGATTTGGTAAAGAGGCTCAACCTAAATATAAGGTGGGACAACACGTGAGAATAGCCAGAAGCAAGCATCATTTTGAGAAGGGCTATGAGAGCAATTTCAGTCAAGAAGTGTTTAAAATCGTCAAAGTTATAAATCGTCGACCTCCAGTTTATAGAATAGTAGATTTGAATGGTGAAGATATAGAGGGAACTTTTTACGAAGAAGAGCTGCAAGTTGTTACACTTGATGAGAATACAGTGTTTAAAATTGATAAAATCTTAGAAGAGAAAGGTCGTGGGAAAAACAAAAAGTATTTGGTCAAGTGGAAAGGATATAGTGAAAAATTCAATTCTTGGATATCTGCATCAGAACTAAAAAAGATATGACGGAGGAATTTTATGCAACCTTATTGAGCAATAGTTCCATGGAATACTTCCCCAGCAATACGACGTCAAACTTTGTAACACAGCTACCAAAACGTATAAGATTAAATGGGCGGTGGTGCGTTGGTGTTTCGGAAATTCAGTACCCGTGTTCGTTCGCGTCAATAAGTGAGATCGATAATTTAATATATTATAGAGTAACACCTCCGGAAGATTTATCTGCAAAAAGAGTGTTAAAAAACGCGGCGGACTTTTTTCGTGATGACTCCGAGCAAATAACGTATCACGCTAACGGCTGGCATGTAATTCGTTTGGCATCAGGGAACTACGATACTGTCGAGGATGTAGTTAGAGAAATGAATAAGCATGAGATTATAGGAAGATTGGTGACTTTAGAGTATTACACTCTTACTAAACGTGTATCAGTTCAAATTAAGACAGAAACACTCTCGATACTGGGTTTTTCAGAGCGTCTTGCTTTACAATTGGGATTTCGTCCCGAACAAAACATTGTTCAAGATCCAGTGCCACCCCATCCCGCCAGCATTTGGATTGCCCTCACAAATGTTCATCTATTGCGATATTGTAGAACCACAAATCGTGGGGAACGTTGTATCTCCACTAATGCGAATAGTTAATATAACTGCTGAAAATTACAATTACGGCTGTCATAAGGATGTTGTGTTCTCCCCAACGCACTATATACCTGTGATGATAAAAGAATTTGAAAATATTGAAATAAACATAAGGACTGATACTGGACAATCAATGCCATTCGAGTTTGGAACATTGAGCTTGAAGCTACATTTTAAGAAATGGGGGGTCCATACCAACAGTACTACGTAAATCAAGCCGGTACTGGCATTGGTACGATTTATAGGGGGTCACCGTATCAAAGAGGTCATGGGATAGGAAGCTGGTTAGGTGGAGTGTTTCGTAGTATTTTACCATTGTTTAAATCCGGAATGCGTGCAGTTGGGAAAGAAGCTTTACGAACCGGTACGAATGTACTAGGCGATATAATCGAGGATAAGCCTATCAAGGAAGCGTTTCAAGATCGAATTCACGAAGCAGGAAGAAATCTAAAACGCAAAGCCGATGAAAAAATTGATACATTGATGCAAGGATCTGGTTATAAAACACCTCACATACCCAAACTTGATCAGTTTAAAATTGCAAGTCGTAAGAAAACTACATCAAGAATTAAAAAACCTACAAAGCCCAAATTTAGTGACATATTTTCAAAGCAATAAACATGGCATTCCTTCACGCGCAGTCTTGTGAGTGCATAAAATCAGAGCTGGATTTGTTCGCACTGCCAGCTACTCAAACAAGTATTGAAAGTGGCGAATGGGTTTTTTACAAACCTTTATCCTCGTTAACCGATGATGCTCCGATAGAATTCGTAATCCCCGGAAGCGGGAATGATTATTTGGATTTAAGTCACACTATGCTCTATATCACGGCAAGAATTGTAAAACAAGATGATTCAATATTGGGTGTTGGAGATGTTGTAGGTCCAGCCAACAATTGGTTACACACGCTGTATAGCCAGGTGGAGATATGTTTAAATCAGAAATTGGTGTCGCCACCTAATAACACATATGCGTATCGTGCATATATTGAAACTTTGCTAAATTATGGTTTGGAAGCCAAAACATCACATCTGGGGTGTTCATTGTGGCACAACGATACACCAAAAAAAAATGGACACATTAACAGCAGATAACGTAGGTTTCACTATACGTCAAGCCGCAGCAGCCGAGAGTAACATGATAGAGATGATTGGACATGTCCATGCCGATTTGTTTAACCAAGAAAAATTTCTCATAAACGGTGTTGAAATGAAAGTTAAATTTGTGAGATCCAGAGATTCGTTTAACTTAATGGCTGGTGCAGGTGCAACTTATAAAGTAAAAATTGTCGATGCCAATTTGCTGGTACGAAGAATGAAGATAAATCCTACAATTCTTCTCGCTCACACTAAAGCATTAGAAACGTCCGCCGCAAAATATCCTATTACTCGGACCGATGTAAAAGTGTTAACAATACCAACCGGAATACAGCGTAAATCTTTAGATAACGTCTTCCTTGGACAGCTGCCAAAACGTTGCATAATCGGTTTTGTATCCAATAAAGCGTTTAATGGCGATTACGCGTCTAACCCTTTCAATTTCCAAAACTACAAGATTAATTACATGTCCCTGTACATCGACGGACAGCAAATTCCTTCAAAGCCGTTGCAACCTGATTTCACACGGGAAGGATTATACGTACGGGCATATCATACTTTATTTTCGGGGACGGGTATTCATTTTTTGAATGAAGGAAATAACATATCGCGTTTAGATTACCCTCACGGCTACTGTTTAACTACCTTTGACCTGACACCTGATTTATCCGCTAACGCCACAACACATTGGAATTTAGTTAGGAATGGTTCATTGCGCATCGAAGTTGGATTTCAAGATGCGTTAACTGAAACAGTAAACTGCTTGGTATATGCGGAGTTCGACAATGTCATTGAAATCGATAAACACCGAAATGTTAACGCAGATTTCAACAGTTAAAAGAGAAATCTCAAAATTGCGTACATTGCATAGTCTTACGCACATCAATAAGTTCGAAAAGCAGAAAAATAAATTAAGCTGATATCCTACGTATGATTTCACTAATAATAATAAATAAAAGATCAGTTTATACGAGTCCTTAGCCAGTTTAAATGTTTTCTGCAACGGATGCATACGTCGATATGCAAGGTTTCCGAGGTGCTCTTAATGAGTTTATACCCAAAGAAATTTCGATTGTTTCCTCGGAGGGTCCGAAATGCACAACTCTGTTAATAAAACCCCCTCAAAATTATAGTATTACTGCAACTATGAAAAAAAGAGATTCGATATTTAGAGGATTATTATCATGGCTTAAAGTGGACCTCCGGTCACATTCGATATGAAAATTTTGAAGAGGAACTACGTACCCTGCTACAGCCATTTAGCAAGATCTATGTTAAAGGACTAGAGAAGCAGTACATTCTAAATTTCCTAAACAAACCTATAATAAATGCAGAGGATTGCGGATGCCCTTCTTTAAAGAAGCTGAAGAAAGAATTTGGAGGCATTAGGTGCTTGAATCATAACAGTGAAACTTTAATGTGCTCGCAAGAAAACGCTTTAATGCTATACGAATGGACCCAAATTAGCTCCACCGATGAATTCCCTAGAACTTCAACGAGCCCTGAATCACATACAGGATTCTGTAAGGCCTGGTGTTTTTGCAGCTGATAAATTACCAAAATTTATTCGTCGTCCATATGGACTTATAGTCAATACAGATGTTTCCACCAGACCTGGTCAACATTGGAACGCTATCTACATCGATAAAGATGGAATTGGCGAATTCTTTGATTCCTTCGGAAGGTCTCCATGTGGCCTTCATTTAAAATTTTTGAAAGCCAACTCTAGACGTTTTACATGTAACTATAAAATGTTACAACATCCCCTTTCGACTTTTTGTGGCCAATATTGCTTGATGTACTTAGTTTTTAAAATGAATAATGTTGCCACTAGCGATTTTGTAAACATGTTTAATGATAACTTAAAGTCTAACGACGACATCATCCGTTTATTGTATACTACTACGTTTTGTAATATAAATTTGTTTACATTTAAGGGTTGATACTAATAAAGACAAGTTAAAATCGTTTAAAGATCGGTTGATTTTTTTATAAAAAAGCATCCCTTTTGAGTGAGGTTCATAAATATGGTTTAAAGCATAGCGGTCGACTACGTGACCACGACCCTGGAAAAACTCGAGGTCAAAGTCCAAGACCACGACCTTGGAAAAACTCGAGGTCAAAGTCCAAGACCATGACCTTGGGGAGGTCAAAGTCCAAGACCATGACCTTGGGAAAAACCCCAATGCTACGACAAGTTCATAGTCCAAGGCCATGACTTGAGGAAACCCATTGCAATGGCCTCGGGAAATACCCAAATAAGAAATGTACGCTCTAATTTCAGTTAGTATTTGACTACCGACTCGTTAACATCACCTAACGTATTGTTACAAGTTTTATTAGCCTCGCATAATCTACTGCAGTTTACGTAATTATAGAGTGCTAATCTGTGCATCTCTCTCTTTCTTATGTGTTAGGGAGGGTGTGTGTGTGTGTGTGGATAAACTTGGAAAAAACAAGGATTTTCAAACAAAAACTAAGAAAAAAGTAAGTACACAAATATTTTCTTGTTTTGCTTGCTTCTCGCTTTGCTTTTTCCTCTTC